TTTTTTGCTAGCTGTTTAAACCATAGAGGAAAATATCTAGATTCAAGAGTTACTGGAAATGTGCTCTCCATTTTTTTTTCATTTTTAATCTCTACTTACAGGCAGGAAAAACTTTAACCTTTATTTCTTCATTCTAGAACCTGAGTAGATTTGTATCCCATCTGCTGCTCTGCTGTATCAACAAGTAGCTGAAAGGAGGTCCTTTCCTCATTTATGCCACTCTGCCACCACACATGGAATGAATTCTRTCATCACAGGGCTTTCATGTATCTTGGGAACAATCACCTGAGCTGTTGGCTCCTTTCCATGGATTTTAGTTCCAACAGACTGTTGGACTGTTAGCAGACTGTTAGACTGCTTTGTGCCACCTGCTTTATGGTCAGGTCTAGATATTATATACTGCACTGTAACAGTGTGCTTGTAGAAAACATTTTCTGACCTACAGACCCTAGAGAACCAGCTCTAATGGGAAGGAGAATAAACACTCCAGGCTGGTGCATCAGCTGCTTTTTCTCCATACAAGCTTCCTGCTACCTATGCTTTTCCTGGAGCTTTCCTACACTTGATTCACATTGCTCAATGTTCTGCAGCTGCAGTCTGCTCTCCTGTTTTAACTTTACARTGATGTATCTCTTTGATTTTTCAAGAGTACATCATTGTTAGTACAGCTGAGTGATGTAGTCTGTCTCTCGAGTACAGAAAGTTGGATGAGAACAAAACCCAGCTGCCTACCTTAGTTCTTTGAAAATTCCTGGTTACTGCACTTCAAAACAGAGCAGCCAAACAGCCCACAGCCAGACATGGTGCTTTGCCTTGTCTGGATTGTCTTCCCTGGATTGTAGTGCTTGACCTAAGACTCCATAGGTCCTTCCAGTTCCTGTGATATCTCAGCCAGCAAATGATGCATCCTTTCTGGCACGGAGGAGTGCCACATCAGGAGCTGTTTTATCCAAACAAGCTGAAAGCAAAGTGCCTCTGAATCAAAACAGGATCCCTATGGTTTCAACTCTCTCAGTGAGAGGGAGTCTCACTTTACTGAAGTTGTTCCCTGTGTCAGCAACCTAGTGTATTTTGCCTGTGACCACATACTTGCAGTGGTGCAGAAATCACTGAGCTCAGCAGCAGTGAATGTTAACACTAAAGGCCACTGTTGAAGTGCTTCTCAATGTAGTTTTGCATCTTTTTGTCCCTGTATCGAGATGAGGTGYTTCCCATGCAGAAACAGGGTGATACAGGTTTTCTTCTTGACCTTTTTTCTTTGAGGGCTCCCATGCAGTGCCTTGCTGACCCCATCAGTCTTGTGCCCTCTGTGCAGAGCTTTTGGGAGGCAGCCACTTATTCCAATAGGCAAAAGTCCTGTCCTGCTGACGTGGTGGCTGTGGGCCTTGGAGCCTCTCAGTGACATGAGTGGCTGGTCTGTTTTACCACGGACTGATGACAYCCAGGATATTTCACTAGTTTCAGGCATGGGATGTTCATGCCACAGACCCTTCCAGCTCTGATACAAGGAACATTGAAGAGGAAATTCTGGTTCTTTTCACCCTTTGTCAGGTTTCCTGCATTCCTGACATTCATTTTAAGTCTCTCAGTTCTGTTTCTCTTGGGTCACTTCCACTCTCACTGAGCACTGCACGAGAGAGAGAAATCTCATGAGAACTCTGCATGTGTCTCTGTGAATCTAAATCAGAAGGCTCTGAAACAGAATAGTACATGGAAAAAGGCAGCGTCTTCTGTATTGTTCCAGTTGTCCAGCAGTCAGTCAGAACTTGTTTAGCAGATGTGAATATAAGGTAGTTCAACTTTTAACCTTTGTTTAGCTTTTGCAGGCTTATCCACCTGACGGAAGACAAGCATTCTCAGCTTTGCTTTTGGAAACTTCGATGACTTCCAGCTTAGCACTGAAGAGTGGATAGGTACACCTTCCTGCCTGTCCACTCAGCTGCTTGTCTGCATTGACTCTTGGAAGTGTGGAGTGCAGGTATCTTCAAAGAGATCCACTCACTTTGGAGAGCACCTTTTTTTCGTTGAAACCTCATCCTCTAATCTTGACATGTCCTCTTTTCTTTTATAAGGATTCTTAGACTATGCTGCAATTCCTGTCATCCTTTTCAAAATTTATTTGAGGAAGCACATCTTCCAAGTTCTTGCTGTCCCACTCTGACTCTCATTTCAGCAGATTCTGAGTAGATGCAGCTTTATGGATGTACCTTCAACTATACAAAAGCTTTTTTTCTTATGTAGCTCCCAACTTGTCCAAAAATTTACTCAGGCAACAGCATCTATTTCAAAATTTATCAGTGAGCTAGGTTTCAGTTTGTAGGGCTCCAGGCCACAGAGAAAGGTCCTATTAGAAACTTAAAAACCATTTTTGATGAGGAGACAATCTGTTAAAAAAAAAAAATCTAATGGTGATCAGAGCTGTGTACCTATTCTAAAGTCAAGTCATTAAATCACAGTGACTTGGGCTTCTAAAAAAAAAGCACCGGTCCTGCTCATGGCATAGTCCTTTTCCACGGCAGTGTGTGTAAGAGAGCTGTCACTGCTGTTCATTCCCAGCTTGGTGAAACTATTGCCTCTTTTAGCCTTGCAGCATCCAAGGGTTAAGGAATACACCCAGTACAGGTGGCTGGGTGGGCAGCTGCAGTGTCAGATGCAGACTGCGATGCGGGGGTTGGCAGCCCAAAGCAAGAGCCCATGAACCCATACGGCCCCTTTGCAAACCCTCTGCATAACAACGGGCACGGAGAGCTGCCCAGCACACTGGACACTCAGAGACACAGCAGCAGCCAGCCAGGGCTCAGCAGCCTCCAGCCAAGGAGCCAGGCTCAAGAGCAAGACCTTCACTGCACTGAGTGTCAGAGTATGAAAGCCCAGGGATTCCYTCGTTCAGGGTCCCTCCTTGGAGGCACCCAAAGGGATTTTTCTTGTGTTACTGARCCATGATTAAATTGCACAAGGACAAAGATATCTGAGTCTCTGCTCTGGGAAACCTGGGGTCAAACCGCCAAGGAATCTCAGTCTGACTGGGTGTGAGTGGGGTATGCACAGAGTCAAGCGGGGCGCCCATCAGCTCACTGGAGCTGCCCACTATGGAGGGACTTTGATCCCAGCTCTAAAAGTCTCTGCCTGCACCTGCATGGTCTGACTGGGAAGTCTTCTTAGAGCAACAATCTCTTAAATTTTATCTTTGAGTCTAAATTCAACCATAAACTTGGAATACAGCTAAATGAAATTAGTTGACCTGAATAGGTAATTGGAGGACCCAAAAAAATCCCCATGGCACAGTACTCTGTGATCAATGAAGAGGTCATCAAGGAGCAAGGCTCTTCACTGCAATATATGGGGAGAGGTTGAGAGTCAATATTGATACAGTGAAACACCAGAGGCRCAGGCTGGAAATTAGCAGTCTTTAGCACAAAAGGACAGCTTTGGCAGTGGGGCCAGAATCCAGAGGAACTGTGCTCTCTTCAGCTTTGAGGAATTTTCAGACCCTGTCAGGGTAGTGCCTCAAAAAGCATGGTGTGACCCTTCAGATGAGCCTGCTGTGGGCAGTGCAGGACAGGAGCCTTGCCAAGGACCCACCAACCTGCATTCCTCTGAGATTCCTCCTGCAGGAGGGCTGACCAGGACACAAACCAAGGAGCCACATACAAAACAGTAATTAATATAAAGACTTAAATGCAGAAGGAAGTATTTTCCTAGTGTGGTATTGTGAGAGCAATACTGACACATCTTAGTTAATTATATACAAATATTTCTTCATTGTAAGCTATGGTTCCTAATATACTAGCAGATTAAACTAGCATTTCTCTATCTATACCCACACTATAATTAGTTTATTTAGTAATGCAAGAGGGCAGGAAACAGGAATGGCTTGATGTCTTAAATCATAYTTAAAATCAAGTCTTAATTGGCATGATAGAGATTTGAATGAACAGCCTATACAGGCACATGTGGCCGGTTTAGGAAAGGCAGCTAAGTCTAGAAGGCTATTTCGAGGATGTTTATTCTTATTCCTTAGTCCAGAAAGGCTTTTGGAAGCTAGAGTGACTCAACATTTCTCAGCAAAAACAATATTGCTGTTATGTAATGAAGTAGTTAATGGAGATGAGTCTCTGGGTGATCAAAGGACTCATCAAAAGCAGGAAAACCTCATATTAGTGGAGAATTTGAATTACCATTTTGATGAGAAAGTGTTACAGAACAACACAAACTATGCAGAAAATTCACAAAAGGTGTTGTAGCAGTCTGCCAAAAATGGAGAAATGTGTTAATTACCACTACAAAAGATCTAGCTGAGAATGAGGACACAGTGGGCATCACAAGAAAAATTGACCAACATGGTCTTAAGTTTTAATAAAGGAGTATTAGAACAAATTATGACATAGAGAACCTTAAAAAAAATTCTAGTACGTCTCTCCATGCCCCACTGTTTACCAACATCCCCAATGGTAATTAACTAGCAAAACTGCACCAGTGGTCTGGGGCTGAGAACTGACACCAACCAAATGAACCACCATTCTTGAATGAACGGACTAAATCTCAAAAGAGAGAAGCAGCAATTATGTTTTACTGAGGTACAATAATCACTTGACAACATTCAATAAATTTGATGGAATTTAATGAATTTAGGGGTGGTTTGACAAGGTTCAATAGGGTTCATGGGTTTTTTTCTTTTTAAGAAGTCAGTAATAAGATTGCAGCTCTATTGCAGAGCGAATGAAACAAAATGCTTGTTTTCTTCTACCATTTTCTTCTACCATTCAACCACACTTCACCTAGCTCAAATTGACTGTATATACTTCAAATATTTGTACTGATCACACTTTGAGCTTAAGCAGGATTTTTTTTGCTATCCTTGTTTAGGTAGTCTGATCTGTGGCAGTTCTGTTACAACTCTGCAAYAATATTCTTTTTTCTCTTGGTATACTTAATCTAGATTTTTGTTCTCACATTTCTAGTTCTTCTGAGTTTTTTACAAGGTGGCAGGTTCCACCTTTATGGAAGTCATCTGACATAATTATATTCTTATTMCTGTCTCTTATTATAATGAAATTAATTCTTTGAGATCTCATGTGTACAATGAGATTTATTTCCACAGGTACACTAGTTCAAGATCCAAGACTGACTGAAAATTTTAACTTCTATTATTTGTTATGCAAGTAAGATGTTTGACATCTTCCTCTCTCTTCAACCATTCAATTTGAAGACCTTAAAATACAGACAACTGAAGCAAATTTGAATGAAACAGCGTTTAGATCCAGTGTGTTGGGCCTTGGCTATGATTTTTAGGACACTGATTGTTACTAGACAGTATCCTCAGGGAAGGAGGAGGAAAACAGAACCACAGGTACTGTGGCCCCTCAAACTGCAGCTGACCAGAGGAACAACAACAGCTGTCCCCGTACAGAAGAAATACAGAATCTTACAGACTTGCATCCCTCCAAATACTGAGAACAAAAGGAAGTGTTTCTTTATTCCAAATTAATTCGCTTAGTGAAAACCAATTATTTATCTGTAAGAGAKTAAAACCCCCCAGTCTTACTGTTTAGGTAACAACTCATATAACATCTTTACCTTGGCACAGCTAAGTTTCTTCCAAAGGCTAAACACTTCACATGGCTTTCTAGGAAGGTCAGAAAGTTGTATGTGCTCTATTCTACCTCTTCCAACAGACAGCTGTGTTCAGCAGCAATTTAAGAACCAGAAACAAATTTTAGGTACTGTACAAAAGAAAATGCTGGCAGGCATGTGTCATCCATTGAATACATTTATTTTATTTTCACTATCCAAACACAGAAGAAACACACAGTTAAGTTTCAGGTATGGATACAMMGTTCTCTAAAAATGTCCTTTTCATGTTCTCTTCAACAAACTATGTGTTCAAACGTTTACATTCCAATCATAAGTAGCAGGTGTCTTCTCCCTGCTTCCTACTACCAAGGATCTATTTCTACTTTAATATAAAGTACTGTAAACCTCTTATTCAAAAAGAAAAATTCAGAAAAAACTTCTTAATCAAACACCTTTTCAGAATTGTTGTCTGGCATGGCACAACGTTTAGTAATTTTTTTTTGGTAAAGTAATTCTTGACATTGTTTCAGCCAGGTTGGGTGTCTGTGAATATTTTAGACTTAAGGCAGACAATACACAATTTAGAAATACATTAGCACATATTTGTGCTGGTATGGCATTTTCAGTAGACATCAGTATTTCCTAATTCATTGTGCATTTCACATTCAGAAACCTTGTCCCACRCTGAACATCAGCCTTCTTATTTTAGTCTTGTTCTGCTACTTTTGCTCTCAGAACTCTATCTTCTAGATGTTTGTGATCCTACATTCCTGAAAAGCTTGCTTTCTTGACTCAAGAGTTACATTTCTTCCTACTTCATACAGTAACATCTTATCCCATACATTTCAAGGCAGCTGGTCAACATCTCAACTAAATGCAACAACTAAAAACTGAATTTTGGGGGAAAAATAAAATTTTTACATATATTGTTAAAGTTGTATTCATCAGAACATTTAGCAACAATTATCTCAACTATGGAAACTTTTAACCAGTTCTAGAACTTGACAAGAACACTGATTTCTTCTCCTGAAAATTCATTCTTCTTCTGGCTTACTACATGACTCTTGCAAATTTCTGGAATACTGTGTGGAATATATTTAAAAACTAAATTTGAAACTTAACATATTTATACTGATAGCGAACAAACCAATACTACACGACACAATACTTGATTGCAGAGATTCTGTAAGATACACTGCACACTTATATAAATTCTTCACTTCAAATGTAAGTGCAAAGCRGTAGCTAATATTGTAATTCTACATTGTAGTAGCAGTCGTGTATACATAAACAAGCACTTTTCCTACCAAAAAAACCAAACAGCATTTTGGGTAGCATAATGATTACACTAATGTATGACAAATGCAATGCCAACCGAAGACAATTTCTAAAACAAAGTACTTAGTCTACTAATACAAAGGCTATGTAAAGATATAACATCAATGCTACTGTAGATCTGAGAGCTTTCAAAATACAAAATACAATGGTTTTTGTTGTTTTGGTGTGGTGGTGGTGGTTTTTTCTTTAGAAGTTACACAACTGGCAGTAACACATTCAACAAAATCACCACATTTACATCCTCAACAGCTTTTTGAGAAAGCCACTGGGTTTGCTCTGGGACCTAAATATTGACACTGCAGATGACTATACATCCCCTAAGTCCTAAGCACTACTTGGTCCTATTCTCCCAGCTAAGGTTCATCCCAAATAATCATGCTCTCTGCACAGGCCTCTGGTTGTTACCAGAGACTGTCTCTCACCAACTGCAGTGTAAAGATACACTGCAGTGTAAAGATATGGCTTTCTCTAAAAATGATATAGTATTAAGGTTAAAAAAAAAAAAAAAAAAAAAAAAAAAAAAAAAAAAAAAAAAAAAAAAAAAAAAAAAAAAANAAAAAAAAAAAAACCAAAACAAACAAACTCCACAAGACCCTTAAAATCAACCTTGAGTTCACCACTACATTTATGCAACCAGACAGACTATGTAATTAGTCATACTGTAGTAGAACAAGAAAAAGACGTTTGATTCACTTGAAAAAAATAGCAGACTGGAAGATTTCTTCATTGCATTACACAAACTTCCCTGAGATTTTTACATAAATTACGTTTAGTCTACTATGTATKTGAAACCAGTGAGCTACTGAGTGTCATACACTGCAAATTTTACGTAATTCCTGCATATGTTATCCAGCTAAAATGCTGTCTCAATGCTTTAAAGCTTTATCTCCTTTGTTACAAAAAACACGTACACATAACTGAGACTACAAATGCAAAGACATTTTTTGCACAAAACTCAAAATCCTCAAAGCAGTATACAGAAATTGTGAAAACACATTAAGTTGAGCAAAGCACTTCCAAGTTCTTTGCAGCTTAAAAACTGACTGAGAAATTAGTTTGAAAAATCATTTATGCAAGTGCTTGGTGGCAAGAACACTGACAGAAATAGGTTTAAATGCAATGGGGAGAGAGAGAGCTGATGCTGCTCTCCCTATTTAGCATTCTCTCTTACAACAAAATAACAATTTTGTAGGAGTGATTGTGGGAGAGAAACATCATAGTGGTATAAAATGCTGCTATACTGGCACTATGTTAAGGATTTAAAAAAAAAATTAAAGTTGAGGTTCTTCAACTTCTGTTAAGATGGATGTAGTTAACCACAAAACTKAAGGAGGTGCCAAAGTGAAAGTAACCTCTGTTTCACTAACTCACTGCCACAAATTTGAAAAATGAACACCGAATTTTAAATATAAATCTGGATGTCATGTCAGTTTGCCAAGCTGTATATCCCCTTAACTGAACTTCTTTCAGTGGAAGTCCAAGAAGAACAAGCATTTTACTTTGCAAACAATAATGCTTAAGACAAACAAACAAACAAACAAGATTATTTGAACTAAAAATAAACAAACTGAAATTATACTGCTTTGAGATATAAGATTATCCCCAAGTGTTCTGCCTATGGGCAAAACCGAAGTGCTCTCTTCTCCAAAATTTTTTGTTTTGCATTTCAAAAACTGAGTTATACAGCATTCAGGTAGCCTGATCTTCCAGTTCTCAGTAACTGGAATAATGTCCTTGCCCTCCGCTGAGCGCGGAGCAATTGCACTTCCAAAGAGTTTCATGTTGGATGTTACCACAGAATGAAACAGGCATGGGCCACTCCAACACAGAACAGGCTTGATGTGGCTGTGACTGGCCATATAGACACTGAGTTGTACATATTCTTTTTCTGTGCTGGAAGGAAGATATTAAGATGATCATCTCAACAGCAAAGTGAGGAATTGTGAAAATGAGAGCATTTTCTAGATTTTGAATCCTGCTTTGAAAGAMCCCAATTCGTAGATACACTTATGACTGCACAAAAACCATGAAGATGGAAAGAATGAAAGATCAGCATTTAGAAGCAGAATGTTTAGCTTTTCCTTATTTAAAAAGAAGACATTGTCTTGTGTAAAATGACTTCACTTCTACGTGTTATTACTGTATCTTCAATAACTTCAATACAGRTAATCCTATACTTACTCAACAAGGGAAGAGTATGAAAAAAAGGATAACATCTTGGCTTTTTCATTTTCATAATTTTGCATGGATTAGTAAATTTTCTGTCTTTCCCAATTAGGCACAATTTGCTCCCTTTTCTCTCAAAATACTTACAGTACATCAAACAGCCTATTATATCTCTTTGGATATCCTGCTGGCTGATAAGTGATTCAGACAGGTACACCAAACCACTTCTGCTTTGTTATTCAGAGAAGCCAGTTCTGCATCAACAATTAAAAAATCATGGAACTGTATTAACAGACAAAAGCCTTTGTGCAACACACAAAACAGGGTGCCAAGTCGMTATATACCCAGTGTGAAAGTATTTCTAGTAGCCTTTTCTAGGCATCTCCCTTTCAACAAGGAAATAAACTGGTTTTCCATCTCTTATTTTCATCACATTTTAAGTCACATCTTTTTGGTATTGCCAAGTAAGGCAAATAATGGGGTTGCTGAATGATTACCACTATTTAATTTAGAAAAATAATTTCTATCCCTATTGAGAATTTCAACGTATTCTCATAGTAATAAATATATCCTGATAAAAAAGCCCCAGCAGGATTCTTCAGTATGAAGATTGAGGGTATTTGCCACATAGATTTTACTTCCAGCAAGGATAAGATGTGTGCACATGTACATATGTCAAATATATACAGGTGACTAAGTACATTTGCTCTGCATTCCAACTCATCCTCTAAAGGAGGGACAGTCTTCTCATCCACCCATGTTTTCCCTTATATGATCCACTCGCTGAGCAAGATCCCTAAAGGCCGGGCGCTGGGCAACGTTATTGTTCCAGCATTCTTTCATGATAGCATAAATCTGTAGAAGAAAAAAAGAAAGGTAAGCAGGTGCCACACAAATTTACTTTGAACTGGTCTAAAGAACATTAAGCTTAACTTTATGCTTCCAAACAAGAGCTGCAAAAGAGTGCCTAAATTCTTGCTATCCCAGTGAYAGCAAGAAGTGAATATAGGTGGCTCTGAAAAAGCCCTTATTATAAAAGACAATTCTAAGTTAGCATGAAAATTCACTCATCTATTTTTTGAAGCTTTAACGAGACTTATCTTATTCTGCTATGCTTTCACATTCTTGCTTGCTCTTTCTTTTTTTATGGAAAGCTAAAAAAAGTTTTAACATGACAAACATCAGTATGACCTGAAATCAGATTAACAAAAACAGTAATTCTAAATAAAGGTTCCCCTCCAAAGTTAACATAGGCTTCTCCACATTTGCATATTAACTTCTTAATTATTCTTCATATATAATCAGAAATAAGCAAAAAAAAATCACTGTGCAAACTAAACCCACTAYGTTGGTTTTGCTTGGCCTGGTTTTTGGGAGCTGGGGTGGCTACAGAGGTGGCTTCTGTGAGAAGCTGCTGGAAGCTTCCACCACGCCCAGCAGAGCCAGTCCCTGATGGCTCTGAAGATGGACATGCTGCTGGCCAACCCTGGGCCAATTGGAGACGTTGGTTACACCTCTGTGATGACATATTTAAGAAGAAATTCAAAACTAAATGGGAACACACTGTTTTTTCTAATCAGAGAAGATGAGGAAGTGAGAAAAGTGAGAGAAACAACTCGGAGACACCAAGGGCAGTGCACAAGGAGGGGGAGGAGCTGCTCCAGGCAGATGTGCTCCAGTGGAAGACCCATGGAGAGAGAGGGAGGCCCTGCATCCCAGCTGGAGCAGCCTGTCCTTGGAGCACTGYCCCCGTGGACGAGTGACCCACAGCACAGCAGTTTGGGGAGCACTGTCTGCCCRTGGCAGGAACTCACACTGCAGCAGTTTTGGGAGAACTGCTGCTCATGAGATTGGAACCCACACTGGAGAAGTTCATGGAGAACTGTCTCCCATARGAGGGACCCCATGGTGCAGCAGGATCCTCTCCCTGAGCAGCAGAAGAAGATCTCGGTGATGAACTGACCAAATTCCCCACGCCCTGTTCCCTGCGCTGTCAGTGGGAAGGAAGGGAGGGTTGGGGGGAAGAATGGTGTTCTTTTAATTTTATTTCTCATTATCCTCCTCTGACTCTGTTAGTAATAAATTCACTTTGTAACTCCAAGATGAGCCTGTTTTGCCCTTGTACTGTTTCCTCCTGGTCCTTGTCTCAACTCATGACCCCTTTATTATTTTTTTCTCTCCCCTGCCCAGCTGAGGCAGGGGAGAGCYAGGGAGTGGCTGCCCTGGGTACCTGGCATTTGACCAGGGTCAAACCACAGCACCCACTTTGAAAAATACTTCCACTGCAATACATGGCAACAATATTCTCTTTGCCCAGARATGTATCTGACACCTGGTCTCACCAACTTGCCAAACTCTTCACCTGTATTCTTCTCATTAATTCAATCCAGATTGTTATTAGCAGTTTCTGATACTTTTAACTGTTTTTCACATGTTGCTTAAGAACAATCTATACCACTACCAGGAAAAAAATAGAAACTGTTCCTTATATTTCGGCAAATTTGAAACACCTGAACTGACCAAGTCTCAAGCAACTTGTAAACTGCAAGATAAGCTGCCATAAGCTACAAATATCTCAACATTTATTATCTGTGATTACTAGCCTTTCAGGATCAAAAGTAAACGTGTTCCATTTCTGACAGAGATATTTCCACCTTGCTTTGATATCTAGAGAAATGTCAAGCACTGAAACCTTTGGGTTAGTTGAGATACAGTTCCAGTAAAACAGATTATGTACTATCTTATATATATGACATTTGGGTTATCTACAAAAAGCCAAACCTTTGTAATTCAACAGTTGCTGTACTGGTACATAAAATGCAAGAAAGTTTCTTCAGAGATTTCTCTTTTCATTGTCTATACAGAGACTTCTCTTTTTATTGTCTATAAATCTTTTCTTTCCCCACAGTTCTTCCCTGCCTCACTTGTACCACTCTTTCTCTTCTCTATTAGACCACTTGACCCCGATGTTTTCTCTTTTGCTGGTTTTGAATAGATTATTTCTCGACTTATTGCCAAGTGTGTTTGATTTTAAAGGGATGTAGCAATTAATCTGAGCTGGATGTTACATATGTTAAAAARCTCCATAACTATTTTACTTCCTTTTTTTCACTACTGATTCACCTATACAGTCCTACCAGTTTGACTGAACTTTGTGCACCCTACTCTGAAGAACATAGAACTACAAGACTTAGAAGTGGTATGGCATCTGGAGTGTAAGTAAAACCAAAAGAACACTGAATTATTCTGTGTGCTCTGGGGACACCTTTACAGCTACTTCAGTATCTACAAAGAATATGAAAGCAAATCTGAAGACCCTGAAAACACAAAATCTGATTCATTTACTTAACTGTGCCTACAGTCTGCAAGTTGAAAATGCTTGATAGGGAATAACAGATATGATAAACATGGGCCTTCCATACTTGGGCAGGAAACAGAAAGTAAATAATCAAGATGAGAAGCTCTTTAAATCTGGGAATTAAATGTGAAAAACCTTAGGTAGATATTAAGGTATTTTTGCTACATATTACACATTTCAAAAGAATCCACAGTTCATGGCTTTGAATGAGAATCTCTACATGGGATTCACAGTGAACAAGTTCTATATACTAATCTTGTCGCCACAATACATCTGYCTTTTTGAAATAAAAATGTGAGTGTCCAAGTACAGCAGTCACTCATAGCAGTCCCAGTTCATATACTCAGCAAGACTACATTCTAGAATTCTGAGGCAGTGCAAGCTAAAGAATCAGAAAAGAAATATGATTACACTCATCATGAAAATGATAAAATAACAGCACAACCATTCCACTTGAATAAAATCTTCAATGGTCCAAGCAGAACAAAATACAAATCTTGCATTTACCCGGTACCCTAACTGAGCACCTTTCACACTATAGCAACATATTCACACAGTACTTCACCTCATCAGGGCATCCATCTGGTCTCGGTAGTCGCCCATTATTCTTCAAAAGCTCAATCAAATGAAATACAATCATCTGCCCTTGTTTATCATTGCCAATCATGCGCATGAATTCCTGAAACCAAAGGCCAATGGTCACAAAATAATCTTTAAAGAGAAAAAAAGTTGCTGCAATATTCTTACCAAGCAAAAATTCTTCGTAAAAATACGAAGAATAAATAGAGTAGTACCTAACAATGACGAAATTGTAAATTACATGTCCAGAGAATATATCAATAATTACACATTATTTATATGTGTGTAGAATAGAATAATAATAATATAGAATAGAATAAAATTAAGTGATACATACACAATATAAAGCACTAAGTGAAAAATCTTTAAAAATGTTGATCATCTGATGATCTGGCTACCCTGGATGAAGAGAAGGCTGAGGTTTTCAATGATTCTGTGCCTCAGTCCTCAATGGCAAGCGCTCCAGGCAGGCTACCAAAGCTGAGAAAGRCACATGGAGGGACTGAGAGCATGAAGACCTTAACACCACTGCAGGAGAGGACCAGGTTCATGACCACCTAAGGAACCTGAATACATAAAACTCTGCAGGATCTGATGAAATTCATTCAAGGGCCCTGAGGGAGCTGGCAGATGAAATTGTAAAGGTGAACTTAGCGATGACTGGAAAAAGGGAAAGATAACCCTGATTTTTGAAAAGGTTATGTGAAAGACCCAATGAACTACAGACTGCCAAGCAAGACCGTGGAGCAGATTCTGCTGCACACTATGCTAAGGCACATGAAAAACAAAGAAACAAGACAATGTGGCTTTCCAGAAATTGGAAACAGACAACATGGCTTTACCAAGCGTGAAAATCTTTGTCTAAGAAAACTGGTGACTTCCTATTGTGGTGCAACAGCACTGGGGAATAAGGGCATAGCATCTGACATTGTCTTCCTGGACCTACATGAAGTGTTTGACCCTGTCCCGCATGACATCCTTGTCTCTAAATGGGAGAGACATGGATTGTGCCCCTCTGCTCTGCTCTGCTGAGACCCCACCTGCAGGGCTGCATCCAGCTCTGGGGTCCCAGTAAAGGAAGGACATGGAACTGCTGGAGAGAGTCCAGAGGAGTGGGAATGAGGTTGATAAAAGGACTTTCCTATGAAGACAGGCCGAGGAAATTGGGTCTGCTCCACCTAGAGATGAGAAGGTTGTGTGGAGATCTCAAAGCAACCTTCCAGTATCTGAAGGGGGCTCACAGAAAAACTGGAGAGGGATTCTTCATCAGGAACTGCAGTGACAGGACAAGCAGTAATGGGTACAAACTGAAAGAAGTGAAATACAGGTTGGCTGTTAGGAAGAAATTCTTTATGYGGGGGTGATGAGGCACTGGAACAAGTTGTCAGAGAAGCTCTGGCTGCTCCATCCCTGCAATTGTTCAAGGTCATGCTAGACAAGGTTCTGAGCACCCTGATCTAGAAGAGGATGTCCCTGCCCATGGCAGGGGTAATTGTGACTAGATGATCTTTAAAGTCATCCTTCCAAYCCGTAACATTCTGTGCTTCTGTGATTAATTAATTTTAAAAGGATACAACTCACAGCGGATTCTAAAGAGCTCTCTGAAACATTACAACAAGATCCTGATGCTTTGAAAAATGCCAAATATAAACTGGATATTATGTTGATGTATTAAAAACGGTTAGCAGGACTTATTAGTAATTACATGGCAGAAAAATTAGTATAATTAAAGCCAGCAAAAACAGCTTAGATAAACCTTGCTGACCAAAAATTCAAAATAACCCAAAAAGCAGATTAAAACCTCACTCAGACTGCCAGACATCAAAAGTAAATGAGGATATGCTATTAACTGAAATAAATTTCTAACATAACATAAAGGAATAATTTTTCCTCCAATGCTACATAAATTTCTTTCATGATCCTTGACATGAAAGTRTGAAACAACTGGTTGAACATGCAAATGACCATGTTGTGAGAACAATGTATAACTGTAAACACTATGAGACTTGAACAGACTACTTTGGTCAATTTTACTAAACTATCTTTTCTTGATACATACCAATATTATAACCAACCCTGATGAAGTAGTGAATGCACAYGCAGAACTGATTAATTTAAAGCATAGTCCACCTGAGCCTGTAACTTACTCTATCACTTTTCATTTCACAATCCTTCTGAAGAACTCTAGGTGTCTGCAACATTTACGTTTGATGCTGGAAGAGCTCTCCTGAGCTCTTCCCTGATACCTCKGATAGCACATTGTATGGAATTACTAAGAAGTGCACTGAGGCCACTGCAGAGGTATACTCCAAGCGCATTTTTGCCTGTCATCAACATTCAGCTCTCAAAACCACACTTGCCAGGACTGAGACAAGCCAAGGCTCCAGTAAATACAGAAGGCTCAACTCTCCTCTGTTATGCCCACAGAAAACTGGCAGGTGTTAATAAGATCATGCATCCTATGTTCAGTTGGAGAACTGCTAATAGTATTTTTCTTCACTCACTGTAAATTTGTCTTTAAGGACACCTGTCAACAACATGCAAAAAGCCACTTCTTCTCTTTCTTGAACTTCACTAACTTACTAACTTGGGTTCTGGWAACACAAAATACTTTTAAGTTACCTTACTTAAGATAAGTTAATTTAGATGTATTCTTTCAGCTCAACCTTGAATTTGGAACAGCATTAAAAAGAAACATCATGCAATGGAACAGCTGCATCTGGTTGCATCTGCAACTCTCCACAAAAGATGAGAAAGAACAATCTATCTTAAAAGATTTCAACTTTTTTTTCAAACGTAAGTTACAGTGAAAAACAGTAATTTTCAGGTCTTCTTTCCTTCATGTGGTTGACACCAGTACCTTTTAGCATGTTACTGCTTCTGATTGGATGCTGTCTAATGAACACAAAGGTATCTCCGGAGAAGGATCAGCAGATCTCAATCTACTGAGGTATAGGACAATCCATACATTTTAGAAAATTTAAATAAACAAATTCTCTGAGAATCATTAACTATATACTTACAGCTGGCGGGCTTTTGCTTTTGTCAATATAGGTAAAGAGTTCATACAAAACKACACCAAAACTCCACACATCTGAGGCCACAGAAAACTTGCTTTCTGTCAGAGATTCTGGAGCATACCTGCAACACACAGCACAACAAAAATTCCTCTATGTAACATGTGTCATTTTGGTCTTGAAAACATTTGTTTTAGTAAGACAGACTTCCTTTCCATGACTAAGTGTTCTTTATTCATGGATATTAGCAYGTTTTCATTTCCTTCAGTAGCCTCYAATTAGTAACTATACCTTTAATAATAGTTAATTGGTTTTGAAAACCAAATCCACCTAAAAACAAACACAGTGATAACCATAACCAAGTCTGATTTTTTACCAACAAGGTTGTAGATATATTTCCTATCTGTAGTGCAAGTAAAAAAGAATTTGATGTGATAAGACCTGCAAAGAAAGACAGTAATAGCCTTCCTCTCTTTCAGTAAGCCTTGAACTGTGTTCCAGGTACTTCTGGAATTAAACTGTACGTCTCAAAAGAATTTCTAAGATGCCATTTTGTATCATTTATTCTTTACGTAAACAGTACCTGASTCAGAATTAAAATATAGATTAAAATCGTATGTACAGAGTGGCATTCCCTTTTGGGGTCTATCCAACAGATCTCAGTTGGAAGCCATGAATGACCACTGTTTAGGGAACTAGAAGCCCTAAAAATTTGAAACTATACAGAAGAATGGGMCATTTTAGATTTCCTTTATTTTTGAATATGTTGGATACTATTTCCTTTAAATATATTGGTATTTTTTTKGGKTTTTTTTTTTAAATATGTTGCAAAATCCTAGATGCTACTCTGTGAAGCGAAATATCATATATGTGACTTTCACAATGCTAGAAATTGATGTGAAGCTTTCACATAAGAATTCTACAACATGCAAAACAAACTGGCTGAAATGGCAAAAACTGAAAACATGCCATGATTTCACATACCAAAAGAAAACTTACCAAAATATAGGACTTTCACCAGGTTCTTTCACTTTGTAGTATTCTTTGTCTTGTGGCAAGACTTTTGTCAATCCAAAATCTCCAATTTTAACTCGATTCTCATTCTCAACCAAGATATTTCTTGTCGCTAAATCCCGGTGAACGTATCTTTTTGTACCTAGATACTCCATGCCCTAGGTGTAGAGTTAATAAACACAACAGGAAAGAAGTTATTTTTGCCATTACATAGCTGCACTTTTCCCTGAGAGGATGAATTAACCTCAAAATTCAAACCAAAACAAGGTTTGTCTCCTCTGAGGAGTCAATTTTTCCAAGTTCAGGGACTTCTCTCAATTGGAGGGAGACACACTGAGCACCTGCCAGAGCCAAGTATTTTTTGATTACGTCGCTGGATTATCATTACAGCACCTTTCTGTGCCCAAATGCAGTTTGCCAGTGATATGCAGAAGGAAAACAAAATCTGGGCTAATCCAGAGCCTATGACAAGATTGTTCTACCTGTTCATTTCATTTACTCTTTTTTTCTTCTTTTTCTGCATCTGCTTTCCTGATTGCTTCAATGAACCTTTATATTGGGATTCCCTGAATTTGACAAATGCTCTCTGACAACTGTATTCCCACCTGTGTGCCTTGTTTCCCTTTTGTAGGGACCATTATTCACCCACAGAGTTCTGTTTATTGTTTTATTTCCATGGATTACTGTAGCAAACCACTGGTCTGAAGCCATGTTGTCTTTTGTTGCTGGCGTTCCCTTCTTACCAATGCACCTAGTTATTTTCACTAACAATAAAATTTGGAAGAAGCCAGCGTCTGTGCTGGCATTACTACAACAAGAAGTAAACCCTAGACGGCAATAAATGGAGGACTTTGTGATGCTGCACAAAATCAAGAGATACGCAACCCATCTGTGAAAGGAATCACAAAGTAAGTTGTCAGTTTCACACTTCTATAATCCCTTCAACACAACAGAAAAGCAAGAGAAATTACAATAATGACATCTGTGATCTCGAAAGTTCTGAAAATCAGCATTGTGCTCTTCATGCCAAAAAGGCTTGTGTTCCCTCTCTCTTTAATTGTTTGTTTGGATTTTTTTTTGTTTGTTTGTTTTTGTTGTTTTTGKTTTTGGGGGTTTTTTTGTGTGTGAGGAACCTCAGGGAGAGTTTGGCTACCAAGTGCAATGTTTCTCTCAGATTCTATAGTACCTCCCGGCACCGCTGGGTGGCACCGCTGTTCTCTCACATCCCATTCCAAAACTTCAAAAATTGAACTCTTCATTGCCACTGTATCCACTGCCATAAAGATCAACACTGCCTTCTTCAAAGTGAGGTTTCTGTGTTTCTAGTACGACAAGCCTATGAAAATGCTACAGCTTTTTCTTACTATGACATACTACTCTGAAAAGAGCTCTAAAGTTTGATGATAGTAACTTTTCTGTTAACCTGGAAAACACCTATTCCTATATAGGTTTTTAACTGAAATAATTAAAATTGTATGTGGAAATCATAATCCCGTGGCACCAGTCTAACAACAGAGTTTAAATGTAATTTCAAATGCTCCTCTCTTTAAAACTGGGCTCTCCATAAAGGATACCTGAAACACTTTAAACAAAAAGAGATGGAAAAACCGTTCCTAGTATAGCAGCAAGGAACTAAAACACAGCAAACATTAAYCTGCAGGTATGGGCTTGCCTTCATTACTCTCATCCACTTCAGAGGAGTGCAGCAAGGCAGAGGTAGAGARGTTTTTGATCAAAAACCCCCAAGATCACAGAGTGACAGAAATGCACAAGCAGAAAGAATCAGATGTTGGAAGAGTAAAGCTTTTCTTGCATTGCAAGAAAAGCAAAACCAGCTAAAGAGCAAAACAYGATCAGTTAAATGAAGAATAAGCCTTCAGATTCCATTTTCACAATATCAGGTACTTACTATGTTTGTGATTATATTGTTTTGGAGTAACAGAATGAAAGATTAGAGTGAAATCCTAAAGCAATYAATGAAACCTCTACCTTACAGGTCATACAGCAACAACACTCCAATGCAAGGCACATACACTGTAACTCTTAAGACTATGATTTCCTTAGAAATGAAGACATATTTCTTTAAGAGAAAGTTCTATGCACATTTCCCACAATTTCATACTGTTTGACCCCACAGTTTGTCATATCAAAGCAGGATGTTTTCCCACTTAACTATCTGCAGGATGCATATTTTAGCTCCCTTTCTCTTGGCTGGTGCTTGGTACTTAGGAAGGAAATATCTCATCTGCTATTTTGATTTCTCACCATCCTGAAAAACCTGTAATATTTTGAAAGATCTTTTACATATGTGTATGCACACATGCACTAAGATCCTTTTTCTTTGTAGTTTCTGAACACAATTTCTTTACCAAAAATTTCTGCCGTACTTGCACAGCCTGCAAAGGCCAAAATCCACCTTCCAGTCCTCCCAATGGATACCTCAGACCAGGGTCCTGGGACATGTTGCCACTGTTGCTCCACCAGGTTTTGAATGAATGCCTGAGGACTCCTATATGCTTCAGAGATTCTTATGAAAGTGCACAAGGCCAGCACCTTGAGGTCACAGGCTGAGACAGACATAGAATAGCTAAGAGGCTGCAGCCTTTGGGTGTTCAAAAATCTGTGTTGCATCTTCCTTCTATAAAAAATTCAGTCACTGTCCCCATAAGGCGGTGCTGGAGTGTGTCCAGAGTAGGACAGACCAGAGGCTGGTGAAGGGTCTGGAACACAAGTCYTGTGAAGAGCAGCTGGATTTGTTTAGCCTGGACAAAAGGAGGTTCAGGGGTGATCTTGTCACTTTGCAATTGCCTGAAAGAAGGCTGTAGCCAGGTGAAGGTTGTTTTTTTTTCCCAGGCAACCAACAATAGGATGAGAGTACACAGTCTTAAGCTGTGCCAGAGGAGGTTTAGGTTGCACATTAGGAGCCATAAACGATGATCAGGCACTGGAATGGGCACCACAGGAAGGTGGTGGAGTCACTGTCCCTGGAGGTGTTTAAGGAAAGACTGGATGTGGCACTCAGTACCATGGTCTGCTTGACAAAGTGGTGTTTGGTCATAGGTTGGACTTGATGATCTCAGTTTTCCAACCCATTTGATTCTGTGATTTCACATAACCTACTGTTTCCATGTCTTTGATGTAGGTATTGGGAAAAGAAATTGAGAAGTATTTCTGGTACATGCCTTGAGGGGGTGTGATTGCACTTTTTATTTTTGTCTCTCTCCTCCTCACTCCCATTATTTTTCCTTTTCCCAAATTTCTAAACATGCAAAGAAATCTCAGAATAAAACTAGGAAAGGCATAAGACCTCTTTCTAAGGAAAATGAGGTACCACAAGGAAGATCAGATGTTTGTACTGCTTTTCAGGATTATATGAATTATGTTCAGTACCAAATAATTTATTACAGGTTTGGGCACTTTCATGGCCTCTACTTCTGCATACAGAAATCATGTATCCTTGCTTTTACTTAGTATTTAAAGTGAAACATTTAAACGTTGTTATGGTGATCTTACAGCTGCCTGTCCAAGTTCTGAAAATTCAGTTACTGTATGTCATGAACAGATTATCCGAGTGAGTATTTTATCTTCTACAGTACTTTATTTCAGGTCTCCTTAGGGAGAAAAGAGAATATATTTTGCCTTAGTCCAGCCAGCAGATAGGCCAGTCTCAGCACCCTGTGTTAAGATACTCAGAAGCTTTTCCAGCTCTTGACTACATGAATATATATTGCTACTTTGTTTTACAGTTATGTGGTACTAGCAGCTCAAGAGCATTRTAAAAGACACACCAAAACAACCAGTTATTGCTGGTTTGAGACAAATGGGATGAAAAATGTATATAATTTGAAATTTCCTACCTTGCATATCTGTGATGCATACAGCAAAAGCTTCTTGTGGTCCAGCCTCTCCTTGTGTTTCTGCAGATAATCTCGTAAACTTCCATATGGTAAGTATTCCATAATCAATCTTAGATTCCTACGTCCTTTTACAACAATAACMAAAAACGTAAATGCAATTTTTTCTGTAATTTTCCAATGCCAGCTTTTAAAATGTGGGTATTTTAAAACATCTATCAATAGTGGTAATACAAAATGGGCTTAATAAAAAGAAATTAATTTATGAYTTGTACATCACTATCCAATTTTTCATATATTAACTACATTTTCTCAGAAAATTCTCTTCATTAAACTAAACAACAAAGTGGATATACTTGATAAATTAATATATCTCTAATTAAGATAATTTCATCAATACTTCAGMTGCTATTGCTAAGGCAAAGTAGAAGTGTTTATATCTGTGACGTCAAGATGAAACTCAAAATAGAAAATGATATCAACTTGTCACCAAYTTTACCCTCTTTAAAAACAGCCTGATTATTGCAAGAACAACGATTYTTCTTTTTACAGTAAGATCTTGGGCAGAGGCAGAACCCATGCTTCTCTTGATCAGCTTAAATGTTCATACACCATTATCAATTCACTCAAACAGATCTGTTTCTCTAACTTTCTCCTTGTACAAGGAGAAACAGGAGTATACTGTTTAACTGTATAGGCTGTACAAGAATGGGTAATACCCACAATGAAATACGAGATTGAGAAAAAAAAGCAGACTTTTTTGCTTTAAGATAAAGAAATGGTAAACAGTCGAAATTACACATTCTCTAAATTAATCAAATTCTGCAATGAGGTGAYTGAATTAAATATCCACCTTGTACTAAGATGTAGTATACAGCAGACACTACTTCSTTTGTTTAGTACCCTCTAAATCCTGGTAAATTTAGGACAAGTCAGTGACTGTCACAAACACTTACTTGTCTGAACTTCTTAGTATGGATATTTAGCTGTATTCAATATACCACATACCTGCACTGTAGCAAACTCCTTTGTATTTAACAATGTTATCATGCTGCAGAGATTTAAGTATCTCAATTTCTCTTTCGAAGTCCCTAAGGTGCTCTTCTGTGCTGTGTTGCAGCTTTTTCACAGCAACCACTTCCCCAGTATTATCCTGCAGCGGGTCATACCGGCACATCTCAACACTGCCAAAATTTCCCTAGGACACAAACAGAAATACTTGTGAATTAAAAACAAGTGCACATTGTTCTCTCTTTCTTTGTGTTTCTTAGTGTACATGTTTACTCATGTACAGGGTAGTTTTGTTCCGTGCTCGCTGTACTAAGCTTTAAGGTGATGTGCTTAATTATTTAGGAGAAATACCACAAAACTTCCCTGAGAGAAAAAGTGCAGGATCATGGTTAACAGTAGCAAAAGAAACATATTCCATGAAAGGAAGCAAATAGAACAGGAAATGAGGATAAGGAAAGAGGGTGATGTCCATCTATTTTCTCTTGCTTACACAAATTTTCAGTTCCACTGGCATWCTCCTTTTCCTGCACTCACATAAATCCCTTTTTCTTGGTTCTTAATTCTGCTCTGTTTCTTGTTGGTGTCCCTCCCACTTGTTTCCATGTTCTGTCTTCTTCCCTTTCTCCATTTATTTTGTCTTTTATACTCTTTTATGGAGCCATCACCTACCACTCTGTTGTTCTCCCTCTCAGATAYATATATATATACACACACATACATATATAGATGATATAGATGATATAGATTAGATATAAATTAGATACAGATTAGATATTTAGATATATAGATATAGATATAGATATAGATATAGATATAGATAAAGATTATGTCAGGCAGCTCTGGATTACTGAAAAATACTTTAGCCTTTTGATGTGACTGGATTCACTGTGGAGATCAGCTAATTTTCTTTCGTCTAATATTCTGTGAAAGTGAAAAAAGAGCTAGAAGAAACTGCATGTGCTGCTCAGACATGACCGAAATTACTAACTTCCATAACAGAAGTTTCACTAATTAATGTAAATAATGTATATGGGGACATCAAAAGATAACTGGAAATCACAGTTATTTCCTAAACTATTAGAGAATTCTGAAACATCCTACCTTGCCAAGTTGCTGTAAAAATTTGAGATGTCTTTCTTCAAATTGTGTTGGGTCTCGATCTTCAAAAGCACCAGAAAATCCAAGTGCCCCAATTCTCATATTTGGCAACATATCACTTTCTGTCAACAGCTCGTAATCTGAGAGGYAGAAGGAAGAGGGGAAGAAAGGGAACAGAGGCACAGAGTAGTGAACGACAGAAGAAATAACCTTATTACAATCATGGCATTTTCTACCTTTGTTTGGCATACTTCAAGCTCACTAGAATATTGACAGGCAGTTTTATTTCTATGTAGTAATTTGCAGTCAAAGACAATGATGTATTGCAAAAAACCATCCTAAAAAGGAAGGCACCGCAAGAAAATGAACCAATAGGACTCAGGATTCTTTCGGATCCTGTTGTATCACAGACTCACCTGGAGTGAACAAACTATTTAAATCACGTATAATTGCTCTAAAAGAAGGCCTGAAATCTGGCTCATAATCCATGCAGTTGTTTATAAGGTTTGCAAGTTCTGTCCAGTTGGGGGCAGGAAGCTGGTGCCGATCTTCATAAAATTGTAGTTTCTGGAATTAAACAGGCAAGTAATTTTATATGTCACAACCATGGAGACCTCAGAAGTTTCAACATTCTCACCTGAGTAGCCAAACATTACACCTCTAAACTTAGACCTGTTATCTCACCAAATGTACATCTGACTAATTTTCACCAAAAGCAAGGCTAATTTAAGAGTAATCAGTTCAGAAATTTCCAGCTAGTTACTGGTAGAAGATAAGAAGATAGAGAAAGATGATAAAAATGTTGTCTCCTTTATTGGTAATTTCATAAATTCTCAATTGGATAGGTCCAGCAGAACATTCTACTGACCTGCAATCTGGCTGAGCTCACAACTGTGAAAAGCTTMATGAGTATTATGAAAGAATGTGGGGCAACTTCTGAAATACTTATATCTCTCTAAGCTAGCTCTACGTGAATTTTGGAGATTATTGTAAGAGCTGATTACAATACCTGAGAAGTCAGATCAGGCTTCATGGGAAGGTTACAGTACCTTTATAAAAATAATACTACAGATCTTTTTGTAGCATAGTAAAATATTCATTTTTCTTCCAACTAAAGCAAATACATAATATTTTTATGGAATGTGTTTCACCTCCACACCCTGCCCGTACCTGAGACAAAGTAACATTTCTGGTTTAGCTAAAATAGTAGAATTGTTGCAATATACTACAGAACTTAAACTGTCCAATTAMTAGAATGCAAATTGTAATCCATGCACACAGTTAGGAATACTTTTTGTTTCAAGTGATACACTGCTGCAACAAAGCAACAAAACAAAATGAACAAGATAATACTGACAATTCTGCACTCTGTCCCCCTAAATATCAAAGCCAAACAACATAAACTTCAAATCATTTCTTCTGATCATTACCTATGAGCAAAAATGTCTTTTTTCCTATGGTGGTCACAGGCTACACCACTTTACATGCTGTTTACAACAGCAGATGTTCTAAAGTAGAATTGTTCAGGGAACTGCTGTGACTGCAGACCCAGTTACACTTACTCTGGAAGAATCCAGTGCACTCAGGGGTTTGTCTCCTCCACTACAGATTTCCCATAAAGTGGTACCAAAACTCCATTTGTCTGTGGCTAGGCTCAGCTGCTTGGGATTCTCAATACATTCCGGCGGAACCCATGGTATTCTCTCAAGAAGAACTATGCAATCACACAAAGGAAATTTGTTAAGATGAATCATAAAACCAGAAAATTCCCTAACATATTGAATAGGTAAAAATCACTTTAGCATACATAGGTATTTCACTCTGTAATGTACTATTAATACTTTTCCAAGTATTGGTTCCCTTAAAAAAGCGTTGTATTGGCTTAAAAAAACAAGTTATGGAATATGGACAGAAATAAAAATGTGATTTTTATTTTTATATTATTTTACTTTACTTTTTAAAAACATGCGATTGTACTGTTCTGGATTTGGAGCTCCTTAAAATGAGATCTTACAAGAATAATGTAAGCTTCACACTAAATAGGGAGAATTTATGTACTTTATTGGTAAATGCTGACCCTGCATCACTTATAGGCTGTTAGATACATTATTTCTTTAGACATGTACAAAAGTACCAAGTATAAAGTGTTTTTGTATTTCCAAAAACAGAAAGACTACAAAAGAATAGTAAGGTTACTTCAGCTCCATTAGSATAACAATCTGGCACACACTTTCAATTTAATTAATTCTGCTGTTTATAAAGCATTTGAACAGTCTTAACGGTGGATGATAATCCAATGCTTTTAACATCAAGTGGCTCCAGGTATTCATCAAGAAATGTACTGAAGATGATATTTAACTGCCAGTTGGCATTTTAAAAAGTGCATTTGCTTTGAGTTCTGAAAGTTCCTGCAAGCTATAAAATACTCCAACAATTACAGGACAACAAGTTCAGCAGCTATGTGCAAATGCAACAGACAACATGATACATTTACAATATAATATAACAATAGTAGTACCAATGAAAAGAAGTTGAAAATGAGCACAGTAGGGGAAAAAAGCTCACACAATGGAGAATTGCAGCTTAATTTCCCAAAGTTATTTACAGATAAAGAAGATTCACTCACAAAACTGCTTGGCTAGGACTGTAGAGATTATTACAAAATGACAGCTAGATCGAGCAGCTTCCTACAACACAATTATTTTAGACGGTGGTCAGAAAACAAACCCAACCCCAAGCTTATTTTTCAAGTCAGAAGCACTGAATAAGAAAGGTGATGCAAAGACTTACTATCTCTTGGCAAAACTGTAATACTGATGCCAGGATCACTCAGCTTTATAAATGGCAGGTTTCCAGACTTCCTGTCTTCCTCTCTGATAAGCAAGATGTTTTTTGCACAGACATTGCCATGAACAAGGCCTTTATCCTCCTATAAAGTGAAATGCATCTTTTACATACTGACAAAAGAAGTCTTACTGTGTAACTGCTGAAGAGATATTTAATAACACTTACTGTACAGCATGAGGGAAAATCAGCAAATAAAATGACCAGCAAATAAAAAACTTCAGGCACATCATTTAATCTCAAAGTTAGTTTTCTGTCAATTTGCATCATCTACCTCAAGTTCTTTATTTGAAAGAATTAGATGTGTGTTAACTCAGCAGGGTAATTACCCATCCATTTAAAATTAATGTAAGAATATTTAAACTGTGTTAAAGGAAAGACTCATCTAGTCACATATGCTGTCTTGAGTAATGGCCTTTATGTTGAACTAGAAACACCGYGGAGAATTAATGCCCAAGAGGAATGTATTAGCAGTGTGAACAGCACAGTGTTTTCCCCTCCCAGTGGTTAAGTATTAACACTACCAGGAAGCAGGTTATGCTCGACATCGTGAGCTGACGTGGAAAGTCAGAAAAGGACTGATTTGTGAGGGATGTGGGAGGAAAGCATTACTGGAAATGTGTTTATGCTAAAACATACAGCATTAAAAAAAGAACAGGACATTCAACTACACTTCGTGCAAGATACAAAGCCTGGCTACCTACTAAATAGCAGGTATATGCCCAACCTATTATCAAACACCCTCCAGAGTTTCAAGAATTAAGGTAATAGCTCATCCTTTTTACATGCATTATTCTTGAATCACTTGAATTCAGCTACTAACAAAACTGAACCACTTACCAGAAAATGCATGGCTAATGCCAACTGTTTGGCTACTTCCAGTTTCCACAAAATATTGATAATATTTTTGTTCTTTTTCAAATATGTGTCCAAGGATCCAAATTTTACGTATTCTTGTACAAGGATGTCTGATTAATAATAATAAGAGCAACAATTAAAACAATTAAAACCAACAACAAATAATGAAATTTCAGGAAAGATTCATGACTCTAGCATACTTTTTTTTTTAATGCCTTGTTGGTGATCTAACTATAAACTTCAACCTATGTGGTATCTGAGTACTGCCACAAATACTCTGTGTTCTTTATACTTCTTCAGAGTGTGGAAGTTCACCTAATTTAATCTCAAATGCAAAGTTACTAGTTTTAACCTTTTAGGTTTAATTATTTAGATTTAACCTTTTACAGCTTAGGTAAAATCCAGGGAATATCTTTCCACTTTCACCTCAAAGGCACAACAATGTAACTGCTGATAAAGCATAGCTGAGTACAGCACTTTTCATCTAGTGAGCTGAAAAACATTCAAGTCATTCACTTCACAGTTGTTTACAATCCATATTCTTACTGGAAATTGATAAAAAAGATGCTTTTCTTGAAAACAGACAAGTATTTGTCCTAAAAATGTGCACATATATACGACATACGCCTTCACACAGCCATTTAGCAAATAATTCCAGAAACAAGAATTGTTGTCTTCACCACTTTCAACACAATTTCAAAACACATGACTGAACCCTTGCCTTCAGCTGCAAGATGCTCAAACTGGAAACTACTGGTATTATATCTGGCTGTAATAAATAAACAGATTTTGTAAAAAATTCATTTTACAGACAGCAAACGTTTTTCTTTTTGTGCAATTATGTGAAACGATTTTTATCATATCTGTACATCAAGTGTGTAAACCACAGAACCAAAAAAAGTTGCTCTTCCTAYTTCTTAGCCACTGCCTCTCATTAAACTGTAATAAGTCTGCCTTCAGAAAGAGAACCATTTCTAAAAGACAGCTGTGTTCTAAAGGTGAAGTAAGTAACGATATACCTCTTACAACTATTTCTTTTCAATTATAAACTTGATCCACCTGAAATTTTACATATAGTCCCTGTGTGTGGTACAATTAATAAAATAGAAAAACACCCACATGGTTGTTTTTTGCAAAGCTGGCACAAGCTCTTGGCCAAACATAGCTGCTGTGCCTTTTTCAGCCTCCTAAGCGAAGCAATTTGTGATAGAAAATCCACCCACTCTTTTGCAAATTCTTTCTCCCTAATGAAGGTAACCATCTTCATAATATGCTTATACAGTTATTATAAAATGCTTCTTTTCACAGTGTTCCTCATTTCTAATTTCTAATCACAGAAAAAAAAAATGGGTTTAGGGCAAACAGACATGTCAGTCCAAAGACTGAATGAAGAGGAAAAGCTGCCCCAGTCAGATCCAACAGTATATATTTGAAGACAAAACATATTAGCATATGACAACCATACCAAAGTTTTCATTACAAAATGGTATAAATGTATTTTAGGTGTTTTTAAAAAATCTTATTAATACATAGTCCCAAAGCAGTAAGCTAAACTGAAAAGACACTCAACTTTTGCAGACAATGCAAAGGTTTTACTGCTGCTAAATTTTGTAGTGAGTTGAATTAACAGGTCCTCGTGGTTTCAGAATGGGACCTCTAAACCAAACTTCCCAAAGCTGTATTTGAGCTCACAGCATCAGCATGTGTGGAAAAGTGTGGCAGTTCCTGTTTCTAATCACAGAAAAAGAAGATTTTCCTGGGTAGTACATTTACCTCCCCTACCACAGCTGGTAGGGGTGCAATTTCTCTGGAATTTCAAAAGCTCATTTCAGAGGCACAGCAAAATTGATCTTAGAAAGAACAGGCTCTGTCTGAGCCACTGACAGAGGTTACTATTCACACTGACTGTACTTTAAACAATTTTTCCCTTTTCTTGGTTTTTATTATCAACTAGTTCTCAAATACCAAGACTAATACTACTGCATGTGAACATGTCCCCAGTTCTACCCAACACCAATGTCAAACTCTAATGAGAGATGTATAAAAATTACTACAAAAAGGTAATTAATTTCTACTTACTCTCTTCTCCACAGACACACACTCCATAATTTAACACCAAATGTTTGTAAGAAAGCTGGCTCATCATACTTGCTGCTTCAAAAAACGACTTTTTGGAAGGAGAGGGAATGATTGAGAAAGAAAATTTGTTAGTGAAAACAAGCTCCACAACGCTAATAAATTTACTAAAACCATGGCCATTAAAAAAAATATTTCAACTTCCATCTCATTGCAAAGACCCTATGTGACTTATTTTATATGGCTCCTTGTCGATTTGTGTTTGGCAACTATTTGTTGGTTGATTGGGTTTCATTTCAGTTTTTTTGGTTGTAGAGGGTTTTTTCTTATTTTCTTTTTCTAAAGAACTGATAATCCACATTCCAGATAGGTTAACAATCTCTTTTCTTCTGTGGGAAGGTGTATCTCAACATTTTAAAAATAATCTCTTTTTCAGTGCCAATTAACTGTGTAAAGGAAACTGAAGACAAACTCATCACACACTATTCACTTTCTAATTTATTCTGTCATAATGCACTATTCAGTTTCCAATTTATTTCTTTGTAGCACATTATTAAATTAAAAGACAAAAAGCATTATATAATTCATCCATTACTGCAAGACCTTTTCCAACTTTGTCAGGAACATTTCAACTGCTAATATTTTTTTCCTCATTTTTTATTCCCTTCAGTAGCACCTCCGCCTACGCTTGCTTGTGTACTGATTACTCACCCAACAAAGCAAGACGACAATAAGAACATTTTTCTTCCGGTAACTGTATTTTTCATTTCTATACTCTGAGCTTTTAGTAACTGAGTCATACTTGACTTTGGAATATAAACGTATTACCGTCTTACTAATATTAAAATTTTTTGTTTTCAATAGTCCAAAGTGTATGCCTACATGATTCACAATAACTGAAATATTCACATATTTCAGATATCTAAAATTACTTTTTTATGTACATTTTCATATAGATTTGTCTTATATAATTTAAAATTCACTACATAGCGTACTGATTCTCTTGGTTTGCTGTAAACATAGCTAGATATTAATTTGAATAAATTACATACTCAAATAAACAATAAGCAGTATATGAAGTTGCACGAATATAATAAAAACCACTACATGTGGTGAAAGTGCATGGAAAACCTTTTCTCCCGTTCTCAGTGGGTAGCTCTGAATTCTCTGACAGCTGGTGGGGACAGAGGAAATAAAGCACATAGGTGCACTTCCCAAAGCCAACCTCAAATCCGTCTCCCAGGGCCATAAATCCAAGCATGAGCTTGATTCAACATACAACCCTCTACCAAACAACAAATAGTCATTTGTTGTATGAAAAGTAATGCTCAGCATAGCATGGACAAATGTTATATGGCAGTCAACAATCACACCAACCTCAGAGTAGTTTCTATGGACTTTATCCAGCACCTTTAGAAGAACTTCAGTTTGATGGAGCTGGCCATAGTCTCCCACTTCTTTCCTTACACCTTTGAAAATCTTAGTGAATGTGCCCTGTCCAAGACTCTCCTCCTAAAAGGAAAGAAGGATACACATAGAAAAAAAATAGAAAATACCTGGCTGTTTTAAAAAAGATATCCTCAAAAAAAACCCAGAAACAAAAACCCTGCATAAGCAAATCCTTAGAGGTGTGCTGGCTGTAGAGTCCAACTGAGAGGGAAACCAAGCAACTGAATCAGAAACATTTTAAAAGTTTTGCTTGTTTTTTACTGAAACTCAGGGATCTCAGAAAATAATTTGCTGCAAGAACCAGAGAGGAAAGAATTCCGTTAAATATATACTTAGATATCTCTTGAAGCAAATAACTGCTATTGAAGTCAAAAGGATGCTTCTTAATCATGTAATTACTTGCATTACTTGAATTTTTTTTTTCCATAGCTCTAAGGAAAGACTACAGCAAAATCTCCTAGCTCAAGTAAGATTCCTGTAAACACATAGTGAGGTTTTTAAAACTTGGTGCATATTAAACTCAACACCTGCAGTGGAAAAGCAACTAAAGGACTTACGAATATCAAATCCTCATTACGGATTTTGTGAAAGACCATCTGATTGACATTATTGTGTCTCTGTAGCGTAGGTGATGAAGGTACATCAGAAACGCTATTGCTTCTGAAGACTAGGAGATTTGATTTATCTGGGAGAAGAAAGAGGAAGAGGAAAACCACAGTAAATTTGTAAAATATAAAACTAAACCAATAAAATTTCAGAATAATTATTAATGAAGGGCTGCTAATTCAATGCAAACAAGATACATCACATGGAGACCTTTTTTAAGTATTCCTAATTTCAACAAACMTTCTGAAAACATTATTACCTCCTTTCACATTTTAACTGCTGCTATAATGTGCATACATATTTACTTGTTAAGTACTTTCTAAGTGTTTGAACATTGACTATTTTCAATCAAATCTGAGAGAATAAAAGTTATATCAGACAGTCTGTTCTTAGAAGTTTTTCTTTAAATGGGGAGTTTATGATAGAGGTGAAGACTAACTAATATAAACTGTAAGTAGTACTGCTTAGAAGGGCAGGAGTTTAATGCTTTCATAAAGGAAAAAGATATGAATATCAAAGGTAGGCAAAAAAAAATTAATGTAAATTCAAGAAAAATCCACTCCTTGGGCAGGAGCTCTATTCCACGTGTGTTTTTCCAGCCTTAAAAAGAAGTTGAAACTACACTGCAAACTTGGTATAACTCAGCTAAGATCAGTAATGAGAGAAATTCGCTGAATTCAAATTTGTGAATTTGCCTATGGAATGATTCTCAGTAATTAATGATACATTCAGTAGCTCTTTCCTTCTCAAGACATGAAAACACTTGATGGAAGAAGAAATGCTGCTGTACACAATTCACTGCAATTAAGAAACCAGTTTTGCTTCTACTGATGAAACTGCCTACCATCATTCCTTCTAGAAGACCATCTTACACCAAATTAAAGTTTGGCAGACACTGGAACTGAAAACAAGGACTAAGAAGGTGGAAAAATAGGTCAAGTGAAATTTTAAAAACCCCACATACACATATCACAGAATACACTGAATTGGAAAGGACCCAAAAGGACCACCAAGTCCAACTCCTGGCCCTGCACAGGATATCAATAATCACACCCATGTGTCTGAGAGCATTGTCCAACACTTCTTGAACTCTCTCAGGCTGGAGCTGTGACCACTTCTGTGGGGAGCCTGTTCCAGTGCTCAGCCACCCTCTGTGAAGGTGAAGAACCTTTTCCTGATGTCCAACCTAAACCTCCCCAACACAACTTCAGGCCATTCCCTTGGGTCCTGTCACTGTCACCACAGAGAAAGGAGACCTTTCCTGCCTGCCCCTCCTCTTCCTGCCCCTTCTCTTCCCCTCATGAGGAAGCTGTAACTGCAATGAGGTCTCCCCTCAGTCTCCTCCAGGCTGAACAAACCAAGTGACCTCGGCTGCTCTTCACACGGCTTCCCCTTCAGATCCTTCACCAGCCTCCTGTCCATCCTTTGACACTCCCCAATGGCTTTATATCCCCAACAGCTCTTCTATTGTGGCACCCAAAGCTGTCCCCAGCACTGAGCTGAGGCTGCCCCAGTGCAGAGCAGGGCAGGACAATCCCCTCCCTTGCCCGGCTGGTGATGCTGTGCCTGATGCTCCCCAGGACACGGGTGGCCCTCCTGGCTGCCAGGGCACTGCTGGCTCATGTTCAACTTGCTAGGGACCATGACTCCCAGGTCTCTTTCTGCAGTGCTGCTTTCCAGCATCTCATTCCCCAGTCTGTCTGCACATCCAGGGCTGCCCCATCCCCAGTGCAGAATCTGACACAGAATTTCTGTTAAACTTCAAACAGCTGGTGATTGCCCCCATCTTCTAATTTGCTGAGGTCTCTCTACAGAGCTCCCTGCCTTCAAGGTTATCAACAGTTCCTCCCAGTTTCTATCATGTATCTACCTGAGAAGCATTTAGTATTAACTTATTTTTTAAGTCCTTAATCTAGAAGTTAGAAACCCTTCTGCTTAGAAATAATCTTTCTCTTACCTTTTGGTTTTGGAGGACAGCATTTGATGAACTGGAAAATTATACTGTCTGAACGGACAGTTTCTGTCTGGTAACAGGTCAAGAGATCCTTAAGATTACTGAAACTTCTCTTGGTTCCACTAAGATTATATTCTCCATTCTCATTCTTCGTAATTAAGCAGTGCTTATAATCTGTAGTACGGTCACGCTGCAGAAATTTTTTCCATTAAAAATTAAATTGATGAACATTTAATATTTGAAAGCTTATTAAATGTATAGCATACACAAATTAAAGAAAGGATGCTTCAGGAAAATATGACCATAATTTGTTATTTTGTTCTCACTATGTAATATGGGTTCTGAGAAAATGGACTCTACTCCCATCGCTGGAACTAGCATGTTGATGCTAGAGAAAAACAAATGTTAATGAAATCTGAAAAGATGGACCTGAGAAAACAGATAATGGATCCTAGGAAAAATCCTTCAGAGCTATTAATTCAGCCTGACATGGGGTTTCATCAAAACAAAATTTTGTTGGAAGCAATAGCCCTAATGCTTACAATCCATGTTCATTTGGCAGGCACTTGGGAGATCTCGGCTGTAGTTCTGTTTTCCTGTCATCCCCAGTACGGTTCTAAGAAATTACTTCCTAATACAATTTTCAATATGCAGTGAATTGCTTTTACAATGAGTCTTGAAAAGATACCATTAAACATTTTTAAACAAGATGAGCTCCTTATACTGTCTTTGTGGTCCTGTATTGCAACTCTGCAGCAAACATTCCAATAAATTCTGAATATATAAAGCATTCAAATGATTTGCACAAGATTCAGAAAAAAAAAAAAAATTGTGGCGAAGTCACTTAGTGACAATGGTAACTTTCTCTCAAAAGCGTGACTCTTAACTTTGCCTCTCAGCCTGCTCAGGAACTGATCTCTTTGTCTACAAAATTCCCTACCAAACTTCATTGACTGGACATAACATTTTCTCTATTCACACATCAACATTACTGGGTGACTTTCAGAGATGTACCTGACAGTATTAGCAAACTTGCTAGCTTGCTGCACATCAGCAGGAAAACCTATGTATTACCTTCCCTAGCTAGAAACACAAAGGTAGCTCTGCTAATGTAATTAAAAAAAAAAAAAATCTTGAAACAAGATCATGCAATTATTAAGCAGCAATATTAAAGCATCGTATTATCATTAGCCATATCACAGAGAAGAGGTACACCTGGTTCTCTGGCTGTGTGAGAATCATACACATTTCCAGGGTGGCTGGCTTTCTAGCTAACACCAGATACACCCAAGAGATTTGTGTTGATGTAACAGCTGCCAAATAATATGTCTGGCCCAGCAGTGGGGATGGGGACAGGACCCAGACCCAGAGGAACCTGTGAAGGACATACACTCTCAGACTGTCAAGGCTGTATACTTAATCTGATGAAGCCCCACTTGCAAGGGGGAAAGGGGTAAATCCAGGAAAAGGAAAATCCAGGGAAAGAACTCAACTAAAAATCCCCAAACTTAAAAAAATATAGAAAACCCATCAAATTGCTCCACCTCCAAAACATTTAGCACAGTCCCAAGACCCATATCACCATCTTCAGAACTCTTAAGCCCACTTCCCTCAGCTGTCTTGGTCTCCTATATATTAGCAACTCTTTAGCAACAAGCATTTAGTGTTTCTCAGAAGACCCTGAAAGCTAGCCAGTCTGAGAAAAATAGCTACAGAACATACACATCAGACAAACATTCGTGAGAGGAAATTCAGAATAATTTACTGAACATCCCAGGCTCATTGTTATATCACAGCAAACATTCAATAGATGCTATCTACGACAGAATACAAACCTCTATAGCAAAGGTAAGGAAGTATTTTTTAAAATCTTTAGGACTGCAGCGAAGGACGTAGAAACCAGTCTGATTACCCGCTTTCTTCAGTTTACTGATAGCAAAGTCCATGCTACAGTAAAAAGAAAATATTTAATGTTGCATAACTTTAAAGCTCAGGAATATCAGTTGGCTAATGAGCAGTTTCAACAAATACGTAACATAACGAGAATTCATACTTTCAATTTTGTACAGTGTTAAGTTAATCTCTTCACCCCTTTATTTTCCAATATATAGGGTGATTGCTTATGTAGAGAGCAGTATCTTAAAAGTTTTTAATACTAAACCATCACAATTATTTATTCAATAAGAAATGTTAAGGGCTAAAGAAGTATATTCCCCACGGCTTACCATTTTCAACATGCATTATGAAAGAAGCTATGATAAAATTGCCTAGCAAATAAGCTAAAATTAGCAAATTATTTGTGTGGGTAAAAAAGGTGGGTTTGACTAGGAAAATGGCTAACAAGAAAGAAGAGCTAAAATACAACAACATTTGTTATTATAAGAACAAATTTCCTCTTAAACAAGCCTTGCTAACTGACAATTTCTATCCATATTCAAGAATGATCTTTCCACTTTTATAACATGTCAAGAAAGCACTGTATTTTACAAAGTAAAAGGAAAAATACACAGCAGTTTCTTTTACATAAATGCATAAAAAGAAATTAAGATGCCTACCCCAGCTCACAGACAACTAAAGTTCATCTTCCAAAAATAGTATCACATTGTTAAATTACTGAAAGAACACTTACAAAATTGGTCCGTGACAGTTGCTTTGAATATTTTCAAGGACTGACGGTGGTGCTACTTCTTTACAGAGATAATGATGGGCATCTGCTGTTAATCTGTAATATCCATCAATTAACGATACGAAGGAGAGAGCTTCTCTTAATGACTGAAATTCAGCCTCCTGTTCAATTGCCAGAAAACAAAGCAAGGGTGGGGGAAARAGAAAACTTCAATTTTTAATACTCAACAGAAAATTCCTGGATATGTTTATGCTGTAAAAGATACGCATGTATGTGCACACTAGAGACATGAATAAAAGCAGGTTTTGACTGATGTCTGTATGTTCTACCTTCTTTCTTGTCATTCAAAACTTGATAGCAATCTTCCACGTTTGAAATCAAACCCAAACCAAACAAAACAGAGAAGCGGTGGATGCCCTGTCCCTACAAGGGGCTTTGAGCAACCTGCTCCAATGGACTGTGTCCCAGCCCATGGTAGATCAGAACAAGATGATCTTTAAACGCCCTCCCAACTTCAACCATTCCATGATTACATTCAATCTTCCATTAAAAAAAAATCCCTTACTCTTAATATACAAAACAGCAGAGGAATGCTGATATGAGAGAACATTTGAAAGGGAAAAACTGAGTGGATACAACTCAGCATGCAGACACCCACTGCACTGCCCATACAGTGTTGTTCTTTTTCCTAAAGGAAGGTCTTCACTTATCAAAGATTTGTATGGCTGTCTTCAAGTAGCAAAGGAAAATAAAGTGCCTGCCTGAAAACTTAACGACTAGTCAGCAAAAACTGGCATGCTGAGCTGGGTTACAGACAGAAGCTGAGCTTTTATTACTATGAACACAGGTGCACTGGATAGAAGCAGGGAGAAAAATAACATAGTCCAAGGAAAATGGGTATTGAAAAGGTCTTACACACAAGATGCAGAACAGATAAAAGAAGGGCAAAACCAAATCCATCTGCCACAACATACTTACTGCTACAAATGAAACAAAAATAGAGAAGCATTTTCTGAGTCAAACTAGATTTCATTCAGTAGTATAACCCAACGGAATAGGCTTTAGTATGTGTTTGCCTGTGACACTGGGGACACACACAGTGACTAAATACAATTCCTTGGCAAGTTCTTTGCAAGACAGTAATAAAAAAGCTGGTATTTTTGAGTAAGTGACAAGAATTTGGAGACTTCAAACTACTTTTTAAGAGCACCTGGAAACAACTGCAGCCCATGGTGCAGACCATGGTGAGGCAGCTGCGCCTCTGAAGCCCATGGAGGTCCATGTTGGAGCAGAGATCACTCCCTGTAGCCCATGAAGAGCCTCATGTCACAGCAGGGGGACATTTCTCAGGGAGGTTGTGACCCCATGGGAGCCTACACTGAAATACTCTTATTGGCAGGACATCTAGCCCCATGGGCCACTATGGAGCTCTGGAGAAGTCTGCCCCTGGAGAACTGCACCTTGAAGAAGGGACCAACACTGAAGCAGTTCATGAAGAACTGCAGCCAGTGGAAACAACTCATATTGAAGAAATTCATGGAGGACTGTCCCCTATGGGAGGGATCCCTTGCTGGAGCAGGGAATGGATGTGAGGAGGACTGAGAAGTAAAGCCAACATGAGATGAACTGACCACACCTCCCATTCCCAATCCTCTGCACTGCTGAGGGGAAGGAGGTAGAGAATCAGAAATAAAGCTGGCCCACAAAGAAGGGAGGGGTGGTGGGAAAATGTTTTTAAGACTTTTCATTCTCATTACCCTACTCTGAACTGATTGGCAACAAAGTCAATTAACTGCCCTGAGTCAAGTCTGTTTTGTCCATGATGGCAATCAGTAAGTGATCCCTCTTGACCCACAAGTCTTTCATTTTATTTTCTCTCCCCTGTCCAGCTGAAGAGGGGAGTGATTAGAGCAGCTTTGGTGGGCAGCTGGTGTCCAGCCAGGGTCAACCCCGCCCACAACTCTGCGACAGTTACATCTGCTAGAAAGCCCGACACAAAAGCAAGCCTGGAGTTCAAGCAAAACACTTTTTACATTTGTGTATAAAATACTTCCTTAAGATCTTCTTCAAAGAACTGTAAAAAGTGAAAGCAATGACATTAATTTTGTCCTGATATTTATTTTGTATCATCATTGCTTCAGAGCATTTTGAAGCCTTTTTCAATGCGTTGGTCTCTAGCAGACAGCTTATCAGGACACCATGGAAACAGCACACTTGAGAACTGAAACCACAGACTCAGGTTTAAGACTAATAAACAAAAGAATCAATCTGTGTACCAGAAATCTTCCTCACACATAAATCTCTCTATTTCATTCCAAGCAAGAAGATTTGAATGCGAAAGACCTTTAGTGCTCTGATACAGCATTTACACTGCTGATATGTGTTTAGCTTTACCTCATGGTTAATTAACATGGTCATGGATTATACAATACTACGTGTACAGCAACCACACACTGCTCAAAGCAGTAGCTACTTGAAAGAACAGCAATTAAAGTAAACAGACCAGATTCTTGCTGTCTTGTTTGTGAATGGTGACAATTCTTCTCTCACTGGAGCCTTCTTGGCTTGCTTGTTTAATGCTGACGTCAATTATATCAGGAAAATCACAGTATGTTTGCAAATCCTGCAACAAGCATTATATAATTTCAGTAATAACATAAATGGCAATTAAAAAGCCTCACCTATTTGAAGCACTGGAATTCCTACAACTCCAAACTTGTAAGGTAGCAACAAAGAGGATTATAAAACCTTACACATGCCATTACAAAAAAATAAATTATCTTTTTGTTTATGAAATCATCACAAGGAACATACAGAACAGACAGATCCAGGAGCTGTGAACAGAAATATCTACATATGGATTTGGGTTTTTATAGTTGTAGACATTTCTTTGCTGTGTAGTATTTTCATGAAAAATGGAATATTTTGATTACTTTTTGAAGGGCTTTTTTTGTGAGCTTCTTATTGGCATCCTGATTAAACAGGTTTACAAAGCCTGTTAACAATACAGAATGTCATGACTTCATTCAGAGTGATACAAGCCGCAAAATCTGTAGCAGCAAGGAACAAAGAGTGCCAGAAAAGGTTGTCCCCTCAGTCCTACCTATTTGTTCATCCGGTTGTTGAAAATGTGAATTTGCAAAACCGATTTCTTCACACTGTACCCCACATATGCCATTACATACAAATAAATAAAAACTGTGTTTCAATTCAATATCTAAATTACAATTCATCACTAAAGTTTACTGAAAGAAGTTATGATCATGTTTACAAGCAGCCATATTTATTTATTTCATTTTCAAAACCAAATTTACAAATAGTTTCTGTACCAGTGAAAATATATGCAGTATCTGTCAATAACGGAATGATAATATTTCTAATTACAAAAAAATAATTTGGCAATCTTTATTAAAAAAATGTTTCCTTCAAACACTACTCTTACTAAAGGCTTGGCTGCCAAGCTCAAATAGCATTGTATGCATCAATATTGTACACCTAAAACTAGAAACTGCAAAATCTGACATTTATTATAGCCCCTGCCAGAGCAGCTGACATTTACAGGAAAATTAGGGAAGGCAGAGGGCTGAGACATAACAACTATGAATGAGGTAACTGTGAATCTACACATATTCTAAGAACGCCACACTTTAAAAAATAAAGGCATGTAATCAGATTTACTTTTAGCTAAGTATTGAAAAAACCCACCAGCATATAGAATTATTATAAATTATTATAGCACACTGTAAAAATGCAAGCTTTTGTGGTCTTGACTGCTATGTATTATGAATCAAAAGTATCAAACAGATGCAATTATTTTAAAAAACTCACGCATGCTCCACTTTGCTTTTACTTTTATGTTCGGAAAATTCCTGCATTCTCAATGTACATTACTCTGAGTTTCTATCAGCTTTTGATAAACTCAACATAACAAGTAGTCATGATGGGAAATTACACACCAAGTAATACCGATAAATAAAAATGCAGCACTATGTCATTACTAGCACTTACAGGAACCATTTAGCACTTAATTCCTGAAGACTACATGGACTCTGCAGTCACAGTGAGTCACTTTGAATTTGCTAGCCCAGACACTGGTAGGGGTCTAACTGCAGCTGGAAAGAGGTATAGGAAAATTTACCTTTTATCTGGAGTCCTTAGATCTCTGCTTTCAAAAAGAATTTGGGGAATTTTTGCATGTTACCTACACCTGGGGGCATGGTCATTACATAGTAATTACATTTCCATATTCTTGATATGTCAAGCAGAGAAGTATTACATGACTTGAATCTTCAAGTATTTCAATAAAAAACTATTTTTAAAATCTTGCACTGTTTAGTCAATATATTTCTGTGATCCTCAGCCATACAGAAATTGTATCATTCCTGTGAGGTAAAATATACCTACCAAATTTTCTTGAGGTAAATCAGGACTTCTAAAATAAGCTTATTACTCTGTTCTACAACAAACTGGACAATATTTTAATAATTGTAAAAATTACCTGCTCTCCAAGTGTCTCACAGTCTTTCAGTTTTCCCCTTGAACACTGAATTCCACCGTTTCCAGTTATTAAAATGGTTGCAAAACTTTCCTCTCCAGAAGGACCTCCACCAGGTTCTTTTACTTCAAAAACCTCTGAATAGAAGGCAGGCTGAAGGGTTTCCAGATTTATGAGATACTTAAGTTTCAAGTTTCTGGCAGTGGCTTTGCATTGGCCAAACTGTTGTATAAATTTGCGGAACCTGTACCTTATTCTTTTTCGTGTCAAAATGTGGTAGTCTTGGATTTTTGCTCGCACACACTTAGGTAAAAACATTTTGTAGCTGTGAATACATAAGGAAAAAAAGCTACTAATTTTATCCATTAAATACAGCAAAGATGATTAGCTCTGTGCTAAGCAAGTCAACATCGAAAATAACCTCTTCCTTGTTTTATATATATTCTTATTAATATATATCCTTATTTTTTAAATTGTAGGATAACAAAGATCCTTTCCTAAATCTGTAGTTTGTTCTTTCAAACAGAGCTTCCTGTATTCTTTCACTTCCCATTTTTCCCCTCAGTCAACTGCAACATATACTACATAATGCATTTTCCATAAATTCAAAGATGTCTGTTTTTTCATCAGCAAAGTGTTGATGTAAGGCAGCAGAAGTTACATGATTACTTTGTTTGGTGTAGAAGTTGTGAAGAGGATACTGCAAGAMAAATACATGGATAAAGGACAGATTTCCTGGCTGAAAATACAGGTGTTAGAACACAACACTGTGGTTGTTTCTCACTGAAGTTCCTTCCTGTCTCACAGTCCACAGTCTGTGTGGGGAGGGCAACAGAGCTGCAGTTATTACCTGCAATGAGCTGGCCTCGTGTTTTCAGCTTCTCCTCTAGGTTTCAAAGACAAACACCAACTATTTAGTAGCAAGCAGGGACAGCATTAACTCAGCTGGAGGAGAAACTGATAGGACAGATAAACTCAAGAAAGTTTAGCCAAGATCTGCCCAAGATGGTTAAGAGCCTGAAGCATATGACATGAGAGAAGAGGCATATGGGAGTTTGATTTCCTCAGCAAGGAGAAAAGAAGGCTCAAGTAGGGTGCTGTAGCAATTGTCTTCTAATAACGTGAAAAGACAACAGAGGACTGTCAGCAACACGAAGGAGACTGATTAGTTACAGAGAACATTTTTCACAATGACTGTGGTCATGCACAGGACAAAGCAGCACAGGGATACAGTGGAATCTTCGCATCAGGACATTTTCAGAATTTTGACTGGATGAGGCCCTGAGTCACTTCATCTAACTTTAAAGTTGGCCCTGACAGGAACAAGGGGTTCTGGACATCCAGAAGGTGTTTCATGTCAAATATTGCTTACATATTTTCTCATGTAAGAAGCTGCTGCCTTACCTTTCATTAAGAGAGAGAAATCTATGTCTCCAGATCATGAACGGCCTAATTTCCATTTCACACAATAGGTAAATTTAAGTAACCACTACAAGACATCCACTGCCAACAGCTGAACACCTCCTCCCAGATATTAACATGCAAAAATACTAGATTTAGATATCAGATAGATGTGAAACAGTTACAAATTATGGAGTCACCTGACTGAATTGTAAATAGCCATTGGGGTTTGGTCCTTTTCTTTGGCCACTCTCATCATATCTAGAACAGCCATTCCAAGGCATTCTTCTTGTGTTTCGTGAGTAACAGGCATCTGTACCCATCCATCCAAAAAATCAGCCCGCCACTGGGAAAGAATCCAAGAAAGCAAATGAAAACCGTAGCACTTGCTGCTTTTCAGGAAAAGGGTTTGGATGCAGTTGTTGGGGGGAGTTGTTGTTTTGTTTGACTGTTTATGTTTGGTTTGTTTGGGAAGTTCTATTGGCTTGGTTTTTAAAAGATTGAATGAACTACTTCATCCACAAAAAGATGCACTTATTCGTAAGGAATACCAGCTGCTATCATGCTTAGAAGCACTGTTTTGAACTTCATCTCTCCAAACACACAATAGGACATGGAATTTAATTTCCAGCTTGAGAGGGCTTCAAGCTTTCAAGAGCCTACAGAGTTACTAGGAGAAGATGGGAAGGGAATAAATACTAATAACCTTTACCAATCTGCATTAAAAAAAAAGCGAACAAATCATACCTGTGCGAATAGATAAGACATGACAAGATCATCAAGGACGGGGCTTTCTGCACCACGAAGAATGCCATACCGGTATGCTCTGTTGCTGCCACTGCAGTACCAGTGGGGAAAATAAAACCTGGAAGGAAATAAATTTAAGCAAGCATCAATAAACAGACACTTCTGCTTACCAACATCAGACATTATTGCTCTCATATACATGAAACTAGTGCTGGCTGGTCTGGAGGACCATTATGGAACCCCAGTTAGTCAATGGAGGCTTCAGATCCAGTTCTTGGTGTTTTAAAGCACTGTAATATTTAAGAAGGATGATAACTGTACTGATCTGAATGAGAACCTTTGCCAAGGTATTCTCACTAATCAGAATACAAAGAATTTTATTAGTGTCTTCCAGTTTCATTTGAAACAGTTCCTAAAGAAACACTCAGGCCAAATTATACAATGCAAATAAAATGGTATAATTAACAAAAGGAAAACTCCGGCTATAATTTAAGGTGTTCACATTCAAATATAAGGTTAGGGAAAAATGGTTTTATTGCAGAAACATGCCTGACCGCACAGGATAATTACTCTGGATTTCAGAACTGCCTCTAATTTCAAACAGGCAAGCACAGAGGAGAAGAGGTGAATCATTATTACGGAAAGTATTATTTTTACTAATGCTATATTTTTATTGCTTGTTTCTTCAATCTAATACCTAAATAAACATATGTGATAGAAAAAATTAATAAAGGACATTATTCAAACCCCTCCAATATTTTTGATTGTTTTATCTGATCTGTTTTCTGACTCCAGAAAGCACAAGCAATCTGTCCATAACTTCTAAGAGAAACTACAGTCCAACTAAGTATCATACTGGTTGTATTTTCTCACACAGTTTTGTTTTACCATGACAAGTACACAACATGTTATTTAGATTACCTTATCCGGTAAATCAGGATGAGTCTGGTTGCTTCATCTACATGGAAGATGTGATTTGGGGGATACCACATTCTGTCTGTTTCACTCATGAGTGCAAACATGTTATGATACACTGGCATGATACCTACATGAAGAACAGAGACACAAACATCTGTAGGATAAAGTGTTTTCACAAAGTATTAGAACATACTGTGGCTTAGGAGTAGCAGACTGCCACAGTGCTCCACTGCTATCAGCAACAGGTATCGATATTGCCAACAACACTGCAACCATGATCCCATAACCTGTAAGCTGCTGTGCTGATTTAATTTCTCATTCTTCCTTTACGTTCTCTGACTGAGGACTGTGTTCACTTGTTATACTATGCTTCACTGTTAGATTACAAGATTTTCTCCATATGGCATTTAATAAAATACCTTCTTAGTTTCTCAGCATAGAAGCAGCTTACAATAGGAGATTATTCCTTTTCCTGCCTTTCCAAAATCAGATTATTTGATCTGAGCATTGATTTTAAGACTAAGCATTGATTTTAAGACTTTAGACTGACTGAAAATTAGAAGTAAAGAAATACAAAGATAGATATATTGACTATGACAACCACTTGCCATTTCCATTTTAGTAACTCAGTTTAAAACATATCCAAACATATATTGTTACAATAAAAGAGCTAGAAAATATTTTTTTCCCTAAACAATTTTGAATTATGCTAATGATAAATGACATGCAACCCTACTTAACCAGAACCTATGGAAATCAGTAGAGCATCAACTCTTCAGCAGCACCAGAATTTTAATTTGGCTTTGAGGTTCCCAGCTGAAACACATCCTAATAAACGACGCAGCGTTGTACTTTACTGTAGTGTTATGCATCCACGTGATGCCAGTGTCAGGATGGGAAAACAGGTCAAGTGCCTGACAACTGACAGCACAGAATAATGAACCACAAGTATTGAAAAATATACTCTGAAGACAGGAAGAGACACAGGTCTGAAGGTCAAAGAGAAGGATGAACAATTACAATGTCAAGGTCACAGTAGGTCATGTATCTACAGAAAACTTCACATTAATGCAACACACTTTGGGAGAAGAAGGCAAAACAATGAGAGAAAAAATAACTGCTAAAGAAAAAAGAAGTAGCTTAAAATGACATTAAGAAACAAAAGAATTCTGGGGAAAGGCAAAATACTCACAGCCTTGCTCAAAGACTTAGAATGAAATAATTGAAATTCTCACAAGAAACCAGGAAAAAAAACCAAACCTTTCTTTCTTTCTGTTCTGAACAACATCTAGGGGGTAGACCTATTGAAGGGGGTAGACCCCACATTTCTTTCATCACATCCAAACCCCATGTAAGACAATCAGAAGAAACAACCTATCAACTCCACACATAAAACGACATAACCCTTTGGAACAAAACATATTTCAGTCTTAAACAACAACTAGCTTATAAAATTTGTTACAAAACAGGGTTTGCCTCTATACAAGTCCAGTAAGAGGCCTAAGAACTAGAATTCTATTGAGCAGCGGTGAAGATTAAACTGCTGAAATCTGTTCAATTATGGCTGATCATCTGACACTTTCTTAAACCAAAGCTCTACCGAACACACCAGAGTTGCTGGCTCTAGCACATGATTTTCTATGAAAAGGAGTCATAAATTTACAGGAAACTAGAGAAATTGAAAGCATAATGTAAGGCAATGGAAGAGAAACCAAAACAAAACAAAACCCTCAGAGGCATAAATCTGAAGGGATTAGTAACTGCAAGATTGGCTGTAATCCTAAACAAATTGCAAATTTTTGGCACAATAAGACACACTTGCTCCATCCAAATTTTGAGAAATTTTTTATGGAGTTAAAAAGAAACCTATTCCATGCAACTAAACTTGGTTCTCGTTTGATGTGTGAAGTGGGATGAGCCAACTATACTACATGCCAGTTGTCCATAAAGCAGTAACTTAGCAGTTAGTAAGTCATCAATTTTAAGGCTGTGTGGTGCCTGTATCCCCAATAATTTCAGTTCTATTACAATGTAATGCATATAAGAGTCACCAGCTTGTTTCATGACTCTTGCCAGATGCTAAACACCATTCAGGGCAATGCAGAATATTTACCTATATACCTAGTGAGACCTACCTAGTCTCACTAATACATTTACCCAAACTACTAAGCACCCTGTGTAAGGACACTGAACAAGAAAACATTTCAAAATCATGTTCTTAAATTCAAATGCTAAGCTGTTGTATTTCATATCATTGCTGTTCTCTAACTAAGCAAGAGATATGACTGTGGTACTCCTCCYATAAATTGGAAATATTTATATTAACATCCCCCCTACCGCCTGCTAGGGTTTATTTTTCTTCCTTTGTATGAAAAATAAACTGTACTCTTCCATCCCTCCTACTTTAGCATTTATAGTCCTAAATCTTAACTCGCACCACTCACCAGTGTTCAAGGACACAGAGATCATATCTATTTTTCAAGAAAAGAAGTTCCACTTTTTTATCCCTTCCCCCTAAGTACTACACATTTGCTTTGCTACACTTAATGCTCACTAATTGTAAAATAGAGCAAATCCCTTTATTAGAGTCTCAAAAATTGTCCACAAAAATCTGACAAGAGCAAAGAGGCCAGAAACTTCTCTTTTCACGTAATTCTTACCACCACTATTAGTAGTGTGGACTTTCCAAGTGATGATAACCAGTATTTAAGTGTTTTCTGTAGAAACAACAAAAACCCAAAGACTGGGGTGGGGAACAAAAGTCTTCTGTTGAAGCCTAGACAGGTCAACAATAGTGAAAACTTCTGAGAAATGTATATTTCAACACAAGTAACATCACAGAAGCATTCACAACAGGTCCTGAAAAGTCTCCCTTGGATTTCTGCACTGCATTAACGGTGCTATCAACACAACCAGTGATGAATTAGGAGAGAATACAGCGACTCAGACATAAATAGAATGCTCTCCTCTGTGCTTCTCCAACACAGACTATAAATAAATTTTCTGGACTCTTTACCATTTATTTACTTATTACATAAGGCTAAACTTGTCATAGTATACAGATTGTCAAGTGACATCATGAAAGACTACAACACAGCATAAGTTTATACTTCAAATTTCAAATTTCTATTTCAAGCCTAAGAAAAAATGTCATTTCCTCTTTTCCTCAATATGATTTTAGAGCTTCACATCCAGACAAGTCACATTACTTCATTTATCCTGAAGCAACTAAGAAAATATAGTTTTTCTGTATTTCCTCCTTTGTCAGCATTTGGACCCCTTTCTCCCATACAGTACATTTTTATAAGGTAATGTCCCTCTTTAAAGAAAAAACAAAAATCAGAAAGTGCAAATGCCAACAAGCCACAACACCACCATGAAATGTGAAAAGCATAGTCTGCAATAGAAATACTGTCACATGAAATTGTCAGTTCAAGCACGTTAGTCATTAGACATAAAAAGATTAAGGCAATTAGTTAAAAAAAATTTAAAAATTTATAATTTTTTTTCATTTCAAAAAATCTCAGATTTTTAGAGTCTAATACATGCATTAGTTCTCACACAACTGCAAGTAAATTATTTAAAACATATGGAGCCTTGTACATAACAGATGGAGATTTGCTTGGCTTTTCTGACATAAAAATAATACCTTACCCTCATCATTCATACAAACTGGAGGCATACCAAACCCTTGACACATTCAATATCATTATCCTGTCAACAAAATGCTTTTCCAATTGTCAATCAAAGCCTGCATTTCTTTTCCTGGAAAAACGAATTGCCCAAAGTTCTGATTAGTTCATTCCCCAGCTAGCACGGAAGCAGTGTGAGGCTGCATGTTCTGTGTGGGTATTCAGAAAAGGCTATCACCTAAAGGACGACAAACAAAAAACAAACAGCACCACCACCCCACAAAATCCAACAAATGAACATACTCACAATTCCCCTTCCCCCCCCAAAAAAAACCCAAAACAAAACAAACAAAAAAAAAACCCAACCAACCAAACAAACAAACAACAAAAAAAAAAAAAACCAACCCACCAAATTTAAAAAAAAACAACACCCAGTGAAGAGCTGTATTCAATGTTAACTCTGAGCCATGTGAACTCTGAGTCATGTCAATTCTGGAAATTCAGCATGCTAGTAAAAATCTGCCTAAAATTCCGTTAATAGCAAGGAATCTCTTCTGAGGCATACAAGCAAAATGGTACTACAAATCATCACATTACAAATGCAATCTCTCCCTTAAAAATGTTTAATTGACTGTAAACACTGCTAGCACTTAGTCACATTAAATGCTTTGAAATAACCTTTTCACTTAGTTGCAATTAAAAATTCTCTGCCACGTTATGGTTTTCCAAGAGAGACCAGCATTTTTCAAGGGAAGTACCATGGAATTTCTAATCTATTTGCAATTCAGGTGGGTGAGAATTAAAATGTTCCTACATGGAGTTTCAGGAATCAGTATTTAAAAAAACTCACAAACACAGAAGCCAACAAAATCAAGGCCTTTTGTTAATTGCTGGCTGTCCAAAACTCAATAAACCTGTTAGGATTTCAAAACTTGTTCTGTCTTGGAATTCTAGTTCCATTAAAAAGTTAAGATTCCAGAGTTTGCCAGTCCTAACAGAGGGGGATGTGGCTATAAGAACAAAAGCATGTGAAGACGTAGATAAAGTCAGATACATCCTACAGAAATTTAGGATTCTTATACACCAGGGGAGAAGCCATGACAGAAATGCAAGATGCTACACAAAATTATGTTCCTGTGTTAGCAAAACATTTTTCAGTGAGCTGTTCAAATGCTCTAGTTACATTTAAAGTAATTATCTCTGCATACTTGGCTACTAATTTATTGAGATTTTCAAGAACATCACACACATTTATTTGGCTGACATCAAACAATGCCTTGCTTGTAATTGTAACTGTTTTAACCATGACTTACAAACTCACTTACGTAAAAATACCTTCAATTTATAAAATTCAATCCTGTAAAAATTTTTATTACATATACAAGTGATGCACATATTATTTACTCATATAATTCAGACAATGGAATAAYAAATTGTTAGTTTAGATATTAAAATAAAATTATTTCCCATTTAATAATCATCTTGTGTATAATTTATTATTCTGGTAAATTACACTGTATGGTCCAAAGTTGTTTATGTTGTTTAATTACTTAATCTAATGATAAAAACTCTGAAATCTGCTTAAAGACATTGGGAATTTCTTATTGCAAAATTATTGGTATAGCATAGAAACACTAAGGTAGTTAGTGTTTCAAATCAACTAACTTTCCTTCTGTATACAAATAAACACATTCAAGATTCAAACTCAGACTTCAGACATTTCTAAGTAGTCCGTAGCTGATTTAGTTATACAACAAAATTCATGTTATTTTCAATTACACGTGCTAATTTTTAAACAGATTTCAAGATTTTTTTGTAATTCAGAATTCAAATGAAAGAAAAATTATGAACAGAGATTACAGCTTTTCTGCAAACAATCAAGTTTATTTATTCTGTAAAGTATCACATCAAGTTTCCATTTCACTCTCTTCCACCAGCTCTGGTAGCTTTCTTGAATCATTACCTCTACTTCTGTTCAAATGGCATTCACTGCTTATAAATTGACTGGAAAGACATGAAAAAGAGCCTAAAAGAGAAATTCTATTTAAGATTTTTGAAAGAGAACAGAGAAGATTGAAGTGTTTAAGATCATGATTTGAGAAAACACGTCTTGGATTAGTATATGCCTAAAATAATGATTCTACAACCTCTAGAACAATTTCTCTATCATATTTCATTTCCATCATCAGTTAGTTCCTCTAATACCACTTTCTCCCTCAGGCTGAGAGCAATGACTTTTCTTCAATTTGGCATGACATTTCCAATTTTCTACTATGCAATTAACTAGCTAACATACAAGAACTGAACCACGACTGATTTGTCAAGTTAAACTTAATTTCAAGACACCTTTTTTTTTTGTATTTATTATGTTTTTCTAAAACCAGAAAACCAGAAAACTGTTTTAAAATAAAATAAAATAAAATAAAATAAAATAAAATAAAATAAAATAAAATAAAATAAAATAAAATAAAATAAAATAAAATAAAATAGAAAAAAAAAAAGCTGAGCTCTTGCATGCATGTATCAAACTGGCAGAATAACAGTTACACAGACTAATATTTTTATAGCCAATACAAACTCTGATGTAACAGATGTAATGTCAAGTCAGCAGAGACTTGAAAACCTTCAGTTGTTTCAGCTGTTTGAAAGGCACATACCAAGACTCTGACATTTGCCTAGATCCAGTCCTGCTTGCCACCAGAACAATCATACTTGGATTTAATCAGCTCTGCTATCAAAAGATCTAACAATTGCTCACACCACAAAGTTCATTAACAATTATCAAATTTGTTATCTTTCAGCCTGGCCTACTACCTGGCTTTCTTAATTAAGTATTTTAACCCATAGCTAATCCCTTCAAGATAAATCTTGCCAACATAAACACTATTTGGCTGTATGAAGATATATGTATTCTGCTGTACAACCACAGACACCTCCCTAACCCTCCCACCACAAACAGAAAATAGTAAGATGCAATGCCTCATGATTTATTCATTAATAATTGTTATGAAAGAGAATAAAAACCTACAGCCATTTTGGCTTTTTCCACTAATTTAGAAAATTAAAAATTCCTTTGAGAAAAAGGCTGCACAGTAGTGCACTAGAATCTGCCAGGCAGAAACCACTCTTTAAAGGGCTTTGTCTACCTCAGCACTCTACAAGGATAAAGATTTAACATGATAAAACAGCTCATTCATACAGGCATAAATAATTACTGATATATTTTGAGAAACTCTGGTGAACAAAGTTGAAACAACAGTAAATAATAAAAACCAAGTAAGGAGTAAACTGATGGTACAAAATTAAGTTTAAAACATAAAAGTGTAAGAGGATACATCTAGGAACTCGAGTACTAGCCTTCCTAGCAAACCAGAAACTATCCCAGGAAGCTCTAAGTCTTGAGAATAGCTGGTGAGGTCTGACAAAACAAGTAATAGAGTACGAAGTCTTCAGCTAATGTCATAGGAAACAAGACTATCTGGATTTGTGGTTTAGCAGGAATTCGATTTTGCATGTTTCTGAGGTGGATGGAAAGAATATCATACATGACATGGGCTGCGCATTTTCCCAGGAAACTGGATAGTGCATTCTGCACAATCCAAAAGAATAAGACAAGACTTTATGAACTTCTGCAATGAAAGAAAGATGCATGCACAAAATGCATGCTTGGATTTTTTTACCACAGATTTCGGCACTGGTTTATGCTAGACTCTGGGTAAATGTAACAATTCAAAGGCATTTTAGATATCAATCTGTTATTTATTTATTTAAAATATACCATCTTGCTATTTACAGGCTTATTTCCTGAAGTATTACAAAGAGCATTAACCATACACACACATAGTCATGTTACATCTAATAAAACAGTCTCCTTCTACAAAATGATTAAACATGTATAATATAAAATATATGCATAACTTCCACAACCAATCTGATATGTAGGGTTGCATCAGGAAGTGATTCAAGCTATTTACAGCTCTTGCCATGATTTAACTTTCCGAACTGTATCTCAGCTCAGGGAAAGAAGACTTTCAGTTAAAGGATAGAATATCTTTAAAGCATTTGGAAAAATACAGCAGTCACCCAATTCAGCTTCACAACCATTCTAATGGCAACAGTTTTACAGCCTGGTGCTAATAGCTTCTGAAAGAACAGAGAAATTAACGTTTCAGTTTGAATGCCACCCTTTTGATGAGCTCTGGATTGTTAAAAACTTTCTTGTATATGAAGTTGAATATCACTGCTTCATTGGATAAACTGTTCCACTTGTACTTACCACAGGCTTTACAGGCAGCAGCGCAAATCTCTTCTGCAACATATTCTCCAGCTGAAAACTGAAGGTAATCTCCTTCTGTCTTCCCAGGAGAATGATAAAGGTACACTTGAAGCAACGGCTCTGTCTCCTTGGGAGCACTGCTATTCCCACGGATGTCACCATTCTGATGGACAGTGGAAGCTGCTGCACTGTCCATATTTGTCATTGTAAGACAAGCCATAGTTTGTTTTGGTTTTGTTCAGAGCATTTGCCTGGAAGAAATGTAAGAAATACTTCTTGACTAACTGTACTTGGTTTTATTCAATACTCCTATTTAATGACAGTACTCGCCTGACACAGAGAAAACATTAAAACCTGTAGACAAGAGAATGGCTTAAGTGGTTTACAAAAAGCTACATTTCTCTTTGATTTATTGCATAGCCATAGAGGAAAAGTAACAGACACTACTAGAGGAAAAAACAAAATATTAATTAGGAGTCCCGCTACAGGATTATTACTTTTCACTGCATTTTAGACAACATGTGCTCAACCTGTCCAACTGCAACATCCTAATTTAACCTGAAAGCCGAAAGAATCACTTTAATGCTATTTGTACTACTCATTCCCAATATTAACTTAGAAAACAGAAGAACTAGCTGGGTCACAGACTGGCACTGCTGAGAAGGATAGGAATAGCACCTTTCAGCAAAGTTTTAATTGTAAGCAGACTTGGTTTGTGCCTATGAATGGGAGGTCTTCCAAGACCACCACCTTTCAAAATAATCATTTAATCTATTTGTAAAGAACTCAAGCAAAGTCCTCTCTGACAAATGTAATAAAGAAGATACTAATAATGCAATAAATAACCACAGGTATATCTGATAACGACAGAAAAGGTTCAAAAATCTGAGCTTGGAAAGCGTACTCCAAAATCCAGTTGAAAAATATCTTTGCTCCTTATGACTCCGTCATAACTTTTATTGGTATAATTCACACTTATCATAAAAGCTTAGATCACCATCTAAAAGCTTGCTTTTATTAAGAGTGATTCCACATAACCACCATCTGGAATTCTACATCTCATATTCTGAAAACACAGAATAGGTCTAGACATGACAATCATAAAGATTTGATTTTCTAGAACCAAAGGCTGGTTTGGGTCACAAGAAGGTTGCCTCCTTTGGGTTTAACAACTCCAGGTGTCTCAGCCTTTCCTCACAGAAGAGGTACTCCAGATGTCTGGCTGTTTCTGTGGCCCTTCTCTGGACTGACTCCAACTGGTCCATATCTTTCCTGTGATAGGAGTCCCAGAGCTGGACACGGGAGTCCAAGATCAGTCTCACACAAGCGGCACAGAGAAGAGGAGAATCACATCCCTTGACCTGCTGGCTATGATTCTTTTTATACGATAAAACTGGTTTTCCAGGCTGCAAGTGCACATTGCCAGCTCACATCTCATTTTTCATCAACCAGGATTCCCAAGTCCTCATCCACAGGGTTGCCCTCAATCCATTCATCCTCCAGCCTATACTGATCCTGGAGATTGCCCTAATCCAGATGCAAGAGCAGGGGCACTTGGCCTTGTTGAACTTTGTGAGGCTCCTATGCACTCAAGTCTGGATGGTGCCCCCTCCCTCAATCCCCTCAGCTGCATAGTCAGCTTGGTGTCATTGAAAATGGAAATTTACTAGAAAATGGAACTGTTTAAGTTAAAAACATGTTTATTGCTTCACAAAGGCATAGGGGTGTTACATTCTTAATGTGTTATTTTCAACAGCTTTTGTTTGTATTCAACTATGTTGCTTTATCATAGGAGAGCTATTTGGAACATGTTTTTTTTAAAGTCTCTGTTCCTAACTACAATTACTTAAGAAAGGATGAATGTATGAATATTCATTTATGTGGGCTAAAGGTGATGCGTGCTGTGGAAATCACAGTTACATCTGCAGGAAAAAAAAAGGCTGAACACCTTAAATAAGGAAAACATATATATAAGATATAGCGATAATTATAAATATAATAAAAGATATAATGATAATTTTTTGAAGATGAAAGCTACTAGCTGTAAAAGATGTGATTCTGGTAATGATGAAGAGATTATTTGGTCTAGTAGGATTATTTTATATTCCTAATCCAGATAACATTTCAAGTCACTGCTTTTAAATGATAAGATTAACCATTCTTTACACTGCTCTAATTACAATCATCAGCACTGACAATGGAACATGTTTATATACATCTCTCCATTCACATCTGTACTCCAAATGCACCTGAAAATTATTTTCACCATCCACACTGGGCTGCAGTAATTTACATGGCTCTTTTTAAGTCAGTCATCAAGAAACTGGTTAATGAGATCGAAAATCATGACTTATGGAAGACACTTCACTACAATGTGGAGGACATAGAAAATTCTCATGATATAATAATATTCAGCATTCACATCCTTCAGAATATTATTTTCAATTTATGTTTTTTTGAGGGAGGGGGCAATATTTGAGGCAATTAGCGGCTATTGAAGGGAAGCCTCCTGGACCAGGGTCTTTAGCCTGGTCTTCAAACATACAACTTCAAAGGTTCAAAACTGAGAGCATACTCTCACAACAGACAAATTCCCAACACTTAATTACCTTTTTATCACTTGAGAAATCTCTGTGTTAGACATGGGAGTGATGAAGCCCTTTAAATAAGCACGTCTCAAGCCACCCACTTACCGCAGCAATCCACAGAAAGTCAGACAAAGCAGGCACACAGGCAGAGGTGGAACATAATGTATCTGCAATAAAAATACAACACAAAAAAACAAGTTAATTGCTGTGAATGATACATAATGCATCATTACTGAAGAATTCAAATTTGTATTTCAATACAGTGATCTCCTCCTATCTTATTTGCTCAAATTCCTGTAATCTTTGCCAAGAACATTTTAGGCTTTTTAAATACAAAAAGTCTTTTCAGGCTTTTTAAAATACAAAATGTAAAAGAAAAAGTTTAAACCACATTTTTGGTACTGAGACTGCTTCCCAGTTTCAGCAAGAAAGTGATGTAAAAGCCAGACACCTGACTTCAAATGTAATTACAAATTTTTTTGCATATGCTTTTCTGTGAGTACAACATCAGTTTAAGAAAATTGTTGATGGCAGTACACAAAAAAAAACCAGAAATGAAAAAGGAAAAATAATCTCAAGAAGAGACATGTTATGTTCATTTCATGCAGTAACAGTCCCTTTAGCCAGAACAATTAATTCCTTTTGAAAGCTGACAACATCCACTCATTTCAATTCACGTGGAAGTTACGCACAACTATCTTGTAGCAGGAAGGACAAGGACACACCCACCCTTGCTCTCTTTGCGCAACACTTCTGTGGTTGCAGGAAACTCCATTTGAAAGCGCTTAAGCACAACAGCAGCTTTTCTGCAGCAGTGAAAAAATACATACAGTCCCTCTGTGACTCTCCCAGCACAGGAAAGGGCCTGACAGAGAATGAAAAATTAATTTTAAAACTGAATAAAGGGAGCAAAAACACAATGGAAGTTCAAAGGGGGCAGAATGAGAGAACACTTCTTCACATTTTATATTTGATGACTTTTCAGACAGGTATCTTCCTGAACAGGAGCGAAAACATCAACACAGCTTCCTCAGTGACATGTGCTGTGTCAACGGAGTCTATCATGAAATACCACACTCCCTGCCTTCTTCCCCCACAAAAGAACCCATCTCAATGAGCAGCATATTCTGCTTCTTTTCCCACAGAAGTCAGACAGATAGCAATGATTAGTGTTTCTCCTCTGCAGTGCCAGCTTTAGAGACAGGCAGTTTTGCCTTGCTTAGACAGCTGTGTATTTTGTATGAACCTCCTGCAGGTGCTATGGGCCATACCAGGGCCTCTGAAGGCCAGTAAGTCAGTGCAGATTTTCCAGACCTGCACTGAAGTGCCAGAGGGAGAGAGGAAAGGTTGTTTGGGGGAGAGCTGTCTATCACTGACCTGCTGAGCGCACATTTCATGTGCACTGATCTGAGAGCGTGACCTTCAGACAAAGCAGAGAACCACCACCTGTTCACACAGGTTTGGGATCAAGGGGCATCATAGGTATTCTAAATCATTTTCTATTTTAAAAGTACTATTCCATGCTCAGAACTGCCAAGCATTCATAATTCCCAGTCAGGCCACTGACTTGGAGCAAAACTCCATGAAGACTTATCTGACTGTTTTTAACTATATAGTTTTTCCAGAAACCCAGTAGAATAAGAATCACAACATTTTGAATCGCCTCAGCGTCACTGCAGCTTGCATTTCAAAGGCAAAAAAATCAATAAAGCAGCCTAATATCACATCTATTCTTCAAATTACAAACAAAAATGATTGCTTGCTTATGATAGAGCAGTTTATAGCTGTGAACAAGAAGCATGGAAACTCAGAGATGAAAAACTCCAAGCTGAACAGGTTCATGTAACCTATTTCTCTTTCTTCCCCCACCTTTTTTTTTCCAAAGAGAGAGTCAACTACATTTTCTTCAGCACACATTTACTGACATGCTCATTTGCATTATCTGCATCAAGGCCTTATAAAACTATTCCGTTCACACATTTTCAGACTGAGTAAGTCTCAAATGACGTAACTCTTTCAGTGGCAGAGTGCTGTACCAATCTCACACTGCACCTATCTTGTCAGTGACCTAGCTCCCACATTTCCTCTTTCCCTCTATTTGTTCCAGTCTAGACCAGCTTACATTTCTGGTAGCTGCAAGGATTTAAATGCCCAGTTCCAAAATTAATTTAAGAGTCTGATAGATCTCAGTCAAAATAAATTAGTCCATCATCTCAAAGCTGCCACTGTCTGCAAAGAACACAACACAGAATTTATTTCAACAAGCCTTCAGAACTGCTATAAATATAATTATTGTTTGTGCCTCTATCACCAACTACAAAGTTTACAGTGAAAGAAGAAAGATGAAATAGCATTTTCTATTGATAAGCAAGGCCTTGAAGATATAGGCTACCTCCCACCAACTAAATAGGTCAGTATTGGCCAGTAAACCAAATATGACAGCAATGTGCACACTTTTCATCTGCTTAAACACACATCCTTCTTTCAAGGAATTGGAATGAACATCAATAATAAAAGCCTTCCCAAGTAATGGTGGGTAGGTGGTATAGCAGGATGCTCTGCCCGGAATGGAATAAACCAACTCGAACAATGCCCTATTTTACAAAGCTATCCATGGTGAACTGAGACAGGGGTGTCATGCTGCTTTTGGTGTTGAATTATGCTAAAACCAGTCTGATCCATCATTAAAATTAAACATCCTGACAGAGAGGTGAAGATGTAGCAGATGCGGTAAAATATCCTTATAAAAATGCTAAGGTGACATAGCTGGCTTGGATATGACTGAGAGTCAATCACTTTATACTTTAAAAATCCAGAACAGCAGGCTCTTCTAACACAGCCCTTCTTGGAGTGTGTGTGGAGATTCTTCCCTTGGGTGGGGATGTCCCTCTGCTCCTCCAGGTTAGGTGAAACAGATTTGCCCACAGTTGGTGATATGGGTAAGTAACACCAATCTCTACTTAATAATTTTCARGGGGTTTTTTTTGCTACCGTAAATAGAACTGTTTTAATGTAATATAATTGCTTTGACATAGTACACTATACTATTCATAACTTTAGCTTCTATACTGAATAGTAAATAATTTTGATTAAGATCTTTGTGTCTAATAATTTATTACAGTAAATAATTCATTTTAATATTAATATATCCAGTTTGCCACCCTTAATCCTGTGGAACAAAGTTGTACAAAGATTCAATCACAACCCTGTAATTTCTTAGACTTAAATGATTGACAGTCTGGGGTTAAGATTGGAGCCAGTCACACCAAGCTTCTCTCTGAGAAGGGGGTTAACATATTAACATGGGGGTTATAATCTTTCCATTCTGATCAGAAATTTTTGAATTGTGATTTCTAGTTCTTCACAACTGAATGAAGTAATTACTGTACTTATAGCAGGAAAAAAACTATCTGAGGCTGCAGTCTGAAAATAAATGAACAGGTAGAACCCTCAACATCACAGTAACCTGCAAGCAGGTGAGTTAGCAGAAAAGTAATCAAATTGAAGACATGCCCAAAGCAACAGTTCTGCTTAGGCTCCATCAGAACTTTGGCAAAAGTTGGGCCATATCTACAAAACATTTCAGTTTCACCCTGCTAATAAATTTCAGCAAAAGTCTATTTCATCAGAAAATTTCCAAGCAATTCAAATGGTTGCCCAATCATTTGGCACAGATTATGTCCCAAGACAATGGCGTCTGAGGATCCTTATTCTATTCAGAGCCACCATTATCCGCACAACTTTATATGCACAGAAGACACAGGAAAAGTAACAATAATGGAAAGGAAGGGTCAGGAAGACCTTTTGCAAGAACATGAGGAAAATATCACCCATTTACCATAATTTCCTTAAGTATCTTTGCAATTCTTCTCAAGTGACGCAATGAAAAATGACAACAGCAAAATTAGGACTAAGTGATATTTTCACAAGTATGCCACATCATACTAGACTTTGTTTTGTTAACAGTACTGAAAACTGAATACTGTTTATTAGCTCCATGAAATTATTGTTACTAGAGCACAGGTCTTCCTTAATTGAGTCTTTGATTTCTTTCAGAAAKACATTAAATAGGAATTGCCAATGCTTCTGCGTACATGAAGGAGATTAGTTCAAAGTAAAAAGCAGGACTGCTTGCTACTGAACTCATTCTGCCTGGGTGGCTTTTGGTTACAAAAAAATTGTGAACCACTGTTCTACATGAAGCAATCAAAGCACTAATTTGTATGTAAAAAAAAAGCTACCAATGCATCCCAAAGAAGTGGGGAGATGATAAAAAGACAGGTTCCACGAAAAAGTAACATTTCAATGTTGAAAAAATATTCCAACAAACCTCTTAAGCAGAAAAAAAACCTATTTTTCTATTAAAAGGCACTTTTGTTAAAAATACTGTCTGGGGTATCAAAATACCTTCAACAGCCTCCAGAGAATATATGACAGTTACAGCTACACTCACAAGTCACAAGTTAAAATAAAAAGCAAAAGCTAACAAAAGCAAAAATTACAACAGCAAAGCAGTCTGTCAAATTATTTGGCTTTCTTAAATGATGTGAGAATGAAAAAGTGGGGTGGTGACGCTGGAAGACACTTTTGAAGAAAGATAGTTATTCTTTCCCAAATGCAGTTCCTGCTGTCATAATTGAAGAGCTATTTGTCAAAACATGAACCAGCACTTGTTGCTGAAGTACTGCAGGGCCAAAGAATAGCATCAACAGTTGCAAAACAGATGCTAGTCTATCAGACACTGTGGAGAACCATGCCGGCCTACACTAAGCTATCAGAAGCCACACACATTTCACACTGCAGTCAGTGAGTGCTGAAGAATGGCACAGTAGAAACCAGCTGTATCACAATGGAAAAGGTTTCAAACCAGTTACTCTTCTCTCAGCCTTCTGTGGCAGGCAGGGATTTCCCAGGTACATTCTGATCTCAACACCTTTCCTGGGGAATAGAGAGAACAGAGAACAAGCCAAGACCTGCCACCTGCCGTGCCTGGCACTTCTGAGAGACGTCAGACCTTTGACAAAGTTCTTTATCCTTTCCAACTACAGATGTGCTCTTGAGTTCTGAGAGTGTAAAAAAGGTTATCTTCCAGGCAAATGGCAATACAGCAGTTGCATCAAGCAGAGTTATATACATATAGAAATTACAAGGTCCTCTTCCTTAACAGAAGACAAAGAGTTTCTCACAGCAAACAGTTCTGTGAGGGAAACCAGTCATAAGCCTTTCCAGTGGCCACTGGCTGTTAATAAAAAGTGCTTCACTTGCACTTGTTCAGGAAGCTTTTTCCAATTCCATCTGGATTTAAAAAGTTAAACTCTTTTTTGGACTTTCCTTTTGAATTCCGTCATCTCCGCTTTCTTGCACTCTTATCTCACTTCCCCAGTCCGGCAAGTTCCCTCCTCAGAGCTCAGTAAAACTGCTGCCTCTAAAGTAACTGTCACATGTGTTTACATTATGTGCAGGAACTCAAGAATGCTGAAGAGCTAGAATTTTCCTGAGAACCAGGAGCAGAAAATTATGTAGCAGAGGGGAAGGGCAGTGACACCACTAAGTTTCCTCCAGGCAAGCAGGAGATAAACAGAAAGAGGAAGAGCCATTACGAAGACAAGAAGTGTCAAAACGATTAAAGTTAAAAACCTACTTTCACCTTTATGGTTTATTTTGTGGCTTTTCTCTTTCAACACAGATTGAATTTAGTAACATAAAAAAAAAAAAAAAAAAAAAAAAAAAAAAAAAAAAAAAAAAAGAGAGAGAGAAAAGAAAAAAAGACGTGAGAATGAATGGAAGATCCCAATTCCTGCCCAAGAATCAGAAGAGCTTAAGAAAAAACCTATTACTCAAACCTCAAAAACAGTTTAAGGAAAT